CTGAGAGTGCTGTTCTAAGTGCTCAGCGTTTATGTCTGGCTGCACGCCGCTCTTCGTTCGCACGATAGTTGACATTGTCCTCAGAATCGGTGTCCTGGAGTTGAATGGGACGTCGTGACAGTTGGTCATCATCTGGAAGGTCTGACCATTTGATCGCGATGAACTTCAGCCCCACGTGGTAGCTATGAGCAATCGTGTACTTCTCAGGAGTGGTGACGATTCCCTTTTTAGCTACATTGAGCTGACATTTCTCGTTTCCTCCACCACGCAGTGAAAGATGTTCCACTGATCCTCTATAGATTGCCCCAATGGTGATCTCTTGTTGACCTTTCCCTTTCTTCTCCATAGAGTCGAGCAGTTCTAATTCTGCCCATGATGGGAAGTTCTTATCAGCATTGGCAATCTGCCTGCCTATGTAGAATGCTCCAAAGGTGGGCATGTGGCATCTCTGTAGATTTTTGTGGTAAGCCCAGTTTGCTGGTCTAATCTTGCCCTCCATAAGGATCAGCTGTGCGGTACTGAGAGTCGTACCATGGCCAAGTGCCCATGTGACTAGGGTTTGGCCGCCAAACGGTGGGGGCATTTTGAATCGATCCATTTCTGGCAGCGGCATGACCAAGGCCAGCATGCCTGTTTGTGGAAGTTCTCGAACATAGCATGCGGACAAATCAAAATCCGTTAGGATGCCTGTACTCGACAGTAGGTGTATGGCCTTTCTGCCAATGTCGTTGGGAATTCTCGGATCCACTTTGGTCAACTCGTCCATCGCTTCATCAAAATGCTCTTGGACAATGCTCGTGGATGGTTGTGGAAGCTCCTTTGCATCAAGTTCATTTGCCGCTCTCATCCGATCAGGATGGGTGAGAGCATGTTTGACTTGACGAGCCCATTCCTCTTTGGAACCTTCTTGAAGGTTGATGGCAAAATGGCCAGGTGGAAGAGTGGAAGTTCGAGAATGAGCGTAACCAGAGCGATTGGGATGATTGCCCTGGTTGTGGGAGTGTCGTTCCAGTGAGTATGCCGTCAAGGGCTTTGAAGGATACTTGGACGGCGGTTCATCATAAGACTGATGTTTGTAGTGGGGCTTTGAGTAGTCGACCCATCCGGAGGGATGCGTGTAATATTGAGACTTGGACTGGTCTTTCCAAGACTGCCAGGACTTCCCCTTTTTGCTGGAGCTTTGACCAGGATAGGTGGAGTAGTCATGATACTCCGACTTGTCGGAAGTTGAAGGTTGGTCGTAGTGATAGTCGTGCCAGGATGGAGGTTGAGGTGTATTGGATGAATAATTGAAATCATCTTGACGACGTTGTTCATCACGTTGATGTAGGACTTCACGATGTCTTGGAGAGTTGGAACGAAGAGTGACTGAATGGGGACGGTATGGAGACATGGATTCATCCCGTGAACGGGAGCGTCGGCCATGGTGGCGGGAACGACTGTCCCGTCTGGAGCGCTTTGGGCTTCTCGGGAATGAGATTGGACGTTTGTCCACATGAGTCGGAATATGTTTGGACCGTGACCTGGAACGGCGGTGAAGCCGTGGAAGTGGTGGCAACGGGACAGCTGCTGGAGGCTCTGCGGCTGGAGTCACGGTGGGAGGGTGTGCCCCACTTGGATGAGGACTCTTGGACCTTTCTTTGGTCATTGCCATAAAGGCCTGCATGCCAGATTCCACTGTATGGCGCATCTGTTGCATCATCTCCTCTGGATTGAAAGTGGTGTGTGGTTCTTGTTGAGCAGGTTGAGATGGAGTTGGAACAGGAGGAGTTTGGACTGGTGGCACCGTTGGTGGCTCAGGTACTGATGGAGGAGTCTGATGAGATGCAGTTGGTTGAGAAGTCTGATGGAATGGGAGAAGCTGCTGGAGTTGCTGAATATGGGTCTGAGCTTGGGAATTCAATTGTTGATGCAGTAGTGCATTCTGGTCCCTTAACTGAGCCAACTGAGCTTGAGTCTGAGCTTGAGACTGTTGGTTCATCAGATCACCTCCACAAAATTGACCAAATTGTGCAGCAGGTTGAGGTGAAGTAAAGGTAGGCGCTGACCAGCCACAGTTCCACATGTTCTCCGAAAAGTTTGGCCACCGACCAGGAAACATGGCCAAAAGATATAACAGGTCTGGCAGCACTGTCAGACGATCACTATAGAGTTAAAACATTAACATTGGATGCATCCACAACGCATGCAGTATTCGTGATAAGGCTCAAAGGCCCTTGGCATTCATTTCAACCCCATCGACGGCTGTCAGTATTCCAGTGAATTAGGTGCACAGTTTCAACCTCACCAAACAACCAAAAGGGAAGTGACCAAACCTGGAAAGCATGTCCTGTTACCTGTTCATGTCAAAATGGCTGCGAGCTGTCTCTTGAACATCACTGGGAAAGGAAAGTGTTAGCGTGGCTTCAAACTATGCAGTGGCACTCCAAGAAATGGTGAGTGCTCGAACGGCAGCCCATTGTTCAACAAATCGACATCGACGAGGTGAAAACCGAAAAAAGGCCAGCAGTTCACTTTACTTAAACGAATTACTAATTCAAAAGTGTAAATTCAGACATCGATTTACTGTCAATTGTTAGCCTGGAAAGGCTTTCCCCGAAGGGTTCCTTCCAACTTGACGTATACAGCAGGAATGACACACTTGCTCAGAAACAACATTGCGAATTTTGTTGTGGAGTGCATCATACGTGCACAAAACAATCCCTTACAAACTGCCAGGAAAAATTAGTTGATCCAGCGTGAATTTCAGTGCGAAGTAAGCTTTCTGAGGAAGGTTCTGATGCAGCGAAGTCCAAAATAAAATAAATAATGCCAGATTGCGACAACAGTGCAGTAGATTGAACAAAGCAAATGATTGACAAATGAAACGGCATGGTGGTTCTTGGGTTAGCCACGTCACGGGGAAATAAAAACTGATGCAGGTACGCCAGACTGGCCAAGTCTGGTATCACCGTCGATGGTAAGTGTCTTCGTTGGCAGGAGACTTACCATGACACTCCTGCCCCCTGCAAATTACATTGAGGTACAACGGCAATGAAAATCATACCTCATCAAAACCGGAAGTTTTACATCTTTGCAGATGTTTCACACACACACACATTTGTCGAGGAATCAACTCATGTCAGCTACAAGTAGCAGTGAGACTAGATCGGGGTTCCTTTCTTAGATACAGCAGGGATTGTCGTGGTTCCAGCTATTCCACAATGACTGTGTCCAGGATTTGCAAGCACTCATTGATGCGTACCAAACAAGCAAGCCCTGATGTTCAACCATGAAAGATTATGCTTCAGGATTAGCAGTTTCAGTTGTGGTCAACAACACCTACTTAGGATGTAACATCCCAGAAAACCACATCAAGTAGTAACTCCAGGGCCCCGCGCTGGAAGACGACTCCTGCAAACGTGGAAGCTATGTTCAAATGTTGCTGACATCAAGTCCAAACTCCAAATCACGAGTAAAAATTGAAATGGTGCAAGATTTTTCCAAGGATCATTGATGTTGCTATTGGCTAAGTTGCTCTTAGATATTGCTATTAGATGCTATTAGATTCTTGCTGATATTGGTCCTTACAGCCGACATGTTTGCATCACCCGCCGGAACCGGGGAAAAGCCCAGCCTCTCTGGCAACTCTCTGAGAAGCCAGGGGGAGCCTGGCGATATCTGGCGAAACGTGGGATTCACCAATAAACCTAGCAGGGGATGGTTTATGGTAGTATGAAAGAAATACAGTACGCGTAATTATTGAAACATAATTTGTATCTGGCATAATATGTAATTATGTGTGCATATGTATATTTATATATATATATACATGTGTGTGTGTGTCCATTTCTGTATGTATGTATATATATATATATTATATATAACATTATACTGATCCTCCAAATGATGGCTTCTGCAGCACCGCCCCTACATTCACACAAATCACCTTTGATGCACAAAGACTCGAGCCAGCCCACATGAAGCCACCACAGCTGTTAATTCAAACTAACTCATTTCTGTTGAGGAATTCAGATTGACTGCTTGGGATAGGAATATTTAGCTCCCTGAAAGGTGTGCAAAAGAACCAATGCCCTACTCGGCTGGGTGCCCGTGCGCGAAACATACCTGAAGCTGCGGAGCATGAAGGTCGTGGGTTGTAAGCATGCAACACCTATGTTTTATTTCTATGTATTCATACGTCCTATGATTAAAGTATGATTATGTATGTAGACTCAATGTAGACATGCTTCTATGTGTTGTCGGCAACACCCAGCGGGGCATACAAATTTCTTGGAACTACTCCCATCCTCAACCAGACATTTCTATAATATAGCAGAGATCTACAGAGAATCTCTTAATACAGTAAGTGTTGGGCGATTCTCACTTCCCAGGAAAATATTTCCAGTGTAGGTCACGGTCTCCATTCAAATCCCCTATTGGATTCCCATTGGGTTCCCATTGGATTCCCATTTTTTTGGACCGGAGCATCTTTCTGGGCTCCCCCGCGCCAACTCAGCTTTCAGGCAATTCAGCGGCCGGGCGGCGCTGCGGGAGAACCTTTCATGGCCAGCGCAAAGAAACTCTAAAGCAGAAAAAAAGATCATGTGACATGATTTTAAAATGATGTATTACACATATTTATACATATCTATACATATCATCTATATCATCTATATCATTCTATATCTATATCAATCTGAAAATTGGGTTTATCTGCAAATCAGGAACCCCCAAATGACCATTAAACAGTCCGGGAAACGATGATTTACCATCAAAATTGGGGGGATATCCCAATTTTCAGACAAACCCACACAGATTCCTGCGTTAACAGTTGTGTAAACGAATTCATCCTTGAACCTGTCAACTCAAGGTTTCTGTTCCACATGGTTTTGTTTTGAACGTGTTGAGTTCCAACAACAGCCTGGTGTCAAAGTGGTTTCATATTACTATACTTCATCTTCTTCAAGAAAAATCTGAAAACTGCAGACACCTTGGGGATGGTGTTTTTTTTCCAATGCTCAGCTCCCGGGCTGCTTGGGATATCCAGCCACAAACTGTTGCGAGCCAGTCCTGGGAGATCCAATAGGTTCCACCACAGTTTGGGTACTGAATTTTAGGGAAGGGATTATAACGTGTTATATATATATATTATATTATATATTGCCAATTGTATATTGTATATTATTATGTTATATTATTATTATTATCATTATTATATTATTATATATATATATAACAACATCCTAGGTCCTAGCCAGTGGATCTGTAAATTTTGCAGGCTTCACATCATGGCTATGAATCTTCTCTGTCTTATTTCTTGACAAGGACTGCTGATGATATCTGGTGATATCTCCATTGGGTCGCTTGACTTGGCAACAAACACTGCTTGGAGGTAACACAAATGAACACAACATGCATTGTGAAATCGCCATCAAATCATGACTTGTATCGCTGAAGTTTGGATAAGTTTGGTGCTTCAATATTGAAAGTCAAATTCGGACTTGCTGTTGATGATATGCAGATTGATAAAACTGAATTCTTGTGGGTTAAATCTTCATTTTTCATTGTTGGCAGGTCTGGATGGACAATGGTCAATGTTGCACACTTACTTTGATATTTCACCTCTTAAAATTGGGATTTTCCATAGCAAAGTGTTAGTTTACAAGAGGGTGTGTATATATATATGATATTAAGTTCCAGTTAATCAATATCAAAAATCAATCAGTTCATATAATATACAATATCAATGTTCATATCAATAAATTATATCCCCATATATTATCCCATATTCCATCATTAATAATGATGGAATATGGGATAATATATGGGGATGAATCATTAATATTAATCAATCTCCCATGTTATAAACCCCTAATACTTGCTATAGTTATCTCCCCATTCATGATGGGTTTTTCCATCCATTTCCGTCCCGCTCCTCATGGGCGTGGGCGGCCCAATGGCCGTGACATGTGTGGGACTGGCCCAGCGCGCCGAGCGCCGCGAGAGCAGCTCCACAGCCTGGAGGTGATTGGAGCCACCAAAACCCTGATTTCGCCCGGAAAAAATGGTGAAAAATGGTGGATTTATCCAAAAATAACTAAAATAAACGGTAAAACCCATGGTATTTATGGTGATGTATAGATCATTTCATAAAAATCCGAAAATTGGATGCACCCAAAAAAATCCAAATAGGCAATATAGTGATTAACAACGGGATTTCAGGTATATGTTGTGTATATATATAATATACACATACAGTATATATGTAATACCATGTTTGGATAAAGCCAAAAGGGGTAACGATTCACCCACAAGAGACGGGTAATTTTCGAGAGTACTCATCAAATGAGAGGGTTTCACCACCAAAATGGGAATCTATCTGGGCCAACCAACACGTGAGACCAAACAAAAAAGATCAAAAAAGTATGGTTAACCACCAAGAAACATGGGGGGCCGTTCTATTTACGAAAAGATTCCTGCTTGGTACTAGACGAAGAATGCCAACATATTTGGGACAAAAAAGAATCACCTGCAGCCCCGGAAGGCAACACTTTTGGATCGCCTGGATGATCTTTGTCACACTGACCAGTAGAGCTGAGATGGGCGTGCAAATGATCCAAAAAATCGCCAGGACCATCAGCTTCAGCCCCTGGGCCCAGGTGGGGATGGAGGCTAGTGCTGTACGATTGCGGTGTTTCATCGTAAATGAATTCATAAGTACTGATGATTGTGCTGGTCATGATCATCATCATCATCATCACCATCATCATCATCATCGTCATCATCATCAACCCTTGCACAACCAACCATCATGGTGAAACAAAAAGAGGCCCAGCCTCGCAAACCCCGCAGCGGCGGCTCCACTCCTGACACGGGAATCGACTACACTCTTGGCCTTCAGTTCTCATTCATTGCATTGCAATGGGATTTAGCTATGGAAAGTGGGTTCTAATATTTTTGATGCCTTTTGAAGAGAAACGTGGTAACTTAATGTATATTACGATCATTTATGATAATTTTTATGGCTTGGATATGGGAAATTGTGGAAATGTGAAATGTTGAACGGATCCGGAATTTCAAGATGTAAATCAGGCACAAATCATCAACTGGTCGATTTCCATTGCTGAAATTGACCTGAAACAACCGTGGTTCAGTGGATTTTCTCACCGGAAAATGACTTTCCCATACCTGGCGGATTTCCAATAATTAAACCATAAATGTGGGAAACCCAACAATAAACCTACCATTTGGGAATGGTTTGTTTGTACCACCCATGGATGGCAATATTGGGCATGGTTTACTATTGGATTTATCAAAATACTTAATACTTCTTTCGGCAAAGGTCAGCCTCTCACTAGCACAGTCGAGTCATTCTTAGCAGGGACCCTGCAATCTCACCAGTCCCAATCCCTCAGAATCTATTGTCGGCACCTTCCACCGATTCCGCAGCCGCAACGACAAGCGATAAACTCAGCAGCCAGAGTCATGGTCATGTGGGGAAAACTAGGATATAACCAGGCACAATGAGGTTGCCAACATGGCAGTGGCAACCAAAACAAACATACACACATCTTCTGAACGTTGCCAGGAACTATGGGAAACTCCTATCCCACCTCACATGTTTCGTATCGTTTGCTGGGTTCCCTGCAATGCCACGGCAGACCATAGTACAGCGCCTTAGGGCCACAACGAAAGTCCCAAAAATCTCAGCACAATGCGGTCGGAAGCAACAGTCTTAAGGTTCTCAACTAAGAAAGTATAGCTGATACATTACATATATTGTAATGTGGTAAAAACGATAATAAACCATTTCCCAAATCACCATAAATAGGTGGTATAAATCATTCCCAAATGGGTGGTTTGTTATTGTTTCAACCACATTATTTGTAAATATGGAAAGTGGAGAACGCCAACTCCAAAATATGGAGAATGCATGAGGTTGCCAACTCCATCCAGTACACGTGTAGGCAAAATCTGGGTCAAAATTCAGGGACGCAACATTGACTGGATAACGCGATACTTGGCAAACACCCATCATCGTCAGATAATGACTTTGCCCACCTTGGAAAGTCAAGAATCAGAACAGTTAAAATTTTCTGAGTCACTTACGAGCCAAACGTCCCCCAAGCATCAAGCATGATCTTTCAAGACTGTGGGGAGCGTTTGCCACCCACAATTGGAGTTGTAACAACTGCAAAGTACGGACCAAAATAGCTAGCATCAAGGTGAAACTCAATACCGTGGGATTACAAGTAGCTTGATTGATGTGACCGAGTGTTCACCGGGGCTGCAATCATAGTTGTAAGATTATCATAGTAATTAAGTCATATTATATCTGAAAAGATCATAGTCATTCTCATAATAGTGTGTTGATAATCATACTTGTGTTGCAGCCGGTTTCCATCCGCATGCATCCAATGGCCACTTCCGCATGTCGTCGTCGTCACTTTGCGATCTGGAGGACACTTTCCGGCTCAGGGAGGAAAAGGTCCGTCTCATGCCCCGGCGGGGGATTCTCTGGTGAGTGTTTTGCCATTGGTAGCGGAGCCAGGTTCAAAACCTGGCTCCGGGTAGGTACCCGTAGCGATGGCATCGGATGGAAGCTCTAGTGACATAGGCAGCCACCGCATTTTCACTGGAAATGATGAGGATCCTAGGAATTTCGTCGATGTAAAGCTTGGGTTAACAGTAGCAAACTGATGACATTGTCTTCCAAGATGTCCGATGAAGCTAAGGGTGCATTCATTTACACCCTTCTGGCTGGGAAAGCCCTTGAGGCTGTGGAGCATCTGGGCGCATCTTCATTCCAGAAAAAGGTGGCGACAAGGTCATTTTAAGATCTGCTGTTAAGGCGGTTTCCGGAGAAGGATGCTTCGGATGAGATGTGGGAGAACCTGACAGACATCTTCAACTTGCGTGCCAATGAGGGAGAATCCCTTAAAGCCTGGATCAGTGGGGCGTGTGAGGCCTTTGACAAACTGCAAAGAATGACCTGTGTGAGTTTCACTGAAGAAGCCAGGGGATGGGTCATCTTGCATCGTTCTGGCCTGACAAGTGAGCAACAAGCAGCGGTTCTGGCTAGATCCCTTTGGAGTGATGAAGCGCGAGGAGATTGGTAAAGCCATGCGGAGTTGTTACCCCGAATTTAGCTGTCCAAAACGCCATAATTTTTGGTGCTGGTATCGTCGATGAGGGTGATCCTGAATTTGATGACGCAGGTGATGATGCCTCAGTGTTTGATGATGTGGAACAATTTTAAGCTGACCATCACCCATTAGCTTTCTCTGAGGTTAGTCGTTTTCGTTTTGGGAATGGTGCTCGTGAGACCTCCAGTGAAGCTGTGAAGATCCCGGTGGTCATTGCTGGTCGGTCTGACACAATCCGTGCTCCTCTGGTGCATGGGAAGGCACCCCTGCTGATTTCCAGGAAGGCTCTTCAATCTTTACATGCCAAGATTGACTTTTCACTCAATGAGATGCGCGTTTTTGAGGATGAGCTGGTCGATCCTCTGGGAACCAATGCCGCAGGACAGTAATTATGTGATTCAGCTGCTGAATTCCCCTGCTGAGACTTGGCAGTAGCTTCCAAGAAGTTGTGATGTCTGAACCGAGTGCTTCAACAGTTGTAGCTGCCGATGACGTGCCTGGTAGTTCTGAAGGTTTCACGTGCGAAGCATCAGTGCCGTCTGATCCCCAAGCCGTGTCCAAGTGAGCTGATCTCCACGCCTGTGGATCCAGGACCGGCAAGTCTGCCGTCATGTGTCTGGTCTATAGGGTTGGTCATAATCTCAAATGGGTTCCTTTAAGCAGTAAACAGGGTCCATACTGGCCGAAGCGAATTGGCAATTAGGTCGCACCGAGAGTCACGGCGGCTGGTTTTGCAGAGTGCTGAACAAGGTCATTCAAGAGCATGTCCCAACTGATAGAGCAACTTGGGAGATGTGTGTTCGCCAAGCACATGTCAAGAATCAACTCATCCAAAACTATGAATACACTCCACATCAATTCGTGTTCGGTCGCAATCCCATGTTTCCAGGTGATTTGTTGAATGAACCCATGCACCTAGTGCCAGCAACTGCAGGCCCCACCAATGAGGCAATTAAGCATGCTCAGTCAAATCGAACATCAGCCCGAAAAGCCGTGATTGAACTGCAAGATGACAAGGCGTTGAGACAAGCCTTGCTCGCCCGTCCGCGCGTGTCGGTAAAATCTGCTGCAGGAGAACTGGTTGCCCACTGGAGAGAACAGAAGTCCTCTCAGTCCCAAGGAACTGTGATACAAGGTGGCCAATGGCACAGAACAGCAATGGTCATTGGGAAAGTTGGTCATAACTACATCATAGCTCACAGGCGACAGGTTCTCCGTTGTGCCCCAGAATAGCTTCGAGCGGCAACCACTGAAGAAAAGACTTTGGTTCAAACTCCGAGGCAGAACTGCTTGGCATCAAGGGCTTGATTGAGGGAGGCACGTTCAAAGGTCAACAATATGCGGATTTGGTCCCCGGTAGATATCCTCCTACAGTTGCTGTTGCAGGGTTTCCCATGCAAGCTGCATCCGAACCAGCTGAGCCAGTTCCGATGTCAGTGGAACCAATGTCTAGTGATGTACAGCCACCTGTTGTGTCTGCTAGGCCTGATGAGCAGTCCAGTCATGAAGAAAAGACTGAGCAGAGCGAAGCCTCTGCCTCCAGTCAGCCATCTGGCTTCCCAGAATCCATGTCTGGTCCATCAGTTCCATCGAGTGCTGCTGAAATGCCCAGTTCGTACGGTCCAATTGGGCATCGAGTACGTGGTAAGTCTGATGAACGAGCCTTGTTTAGGCCTCCAGCTATGCGTGAAGATGATTTTGTAGAAATCATGGGGGAAGTTGTTCCCCAGCTGATTGATCAAGCCTTGCATGAGAACGGAGCTGAAGCTAGCACTCGTGCGCCTGCATCCACGCGACCTCTGGACACGTCCGAAAGCACCGACCAACAAGCGTCTCGACCGCGTCCAGAGTCCACTGTTTAAGAAGCATTGTTGGTCAGTGAAGTGGATGACTGCAAAAAAGACATCGATGTTTTGATCGCTGCTCACATTCAGAAAAAGACCAACAAGGAACTTCTGCACAGTGGAAATCCGTGGTTTATGCAGTCACTGGCGAATGAGTCCAAGAGCTTGGAGTGGATCACCATCTTGGAAAAAGGTGCCGTAAAATTCACCATGGCAAAAAGGCTCAGGCACTGAGAGACAAATATCCAGAGTCCAGAGCAGTTCATAGGTAGATGTTTGTGATCACTAGGAAGCCGGTGGAGGAAGGAACTCGTGTGAATGATAGTGATCCCAACACTTCCCGGGTCAAGAGTAGATGGTGTTTACAAGGCCACTTGGACCCTGACCTCGAACAAAAAGCGATGGATGGTGTGTTACAGTCCCCAACTTTAAGTCAGCCTAGTCGAGTTCTTTTGATGCCAGTGTTGGCTTCCTTTGGTTGGGAAATGCAACTTAGTGATATCAAGGGTGCTTTCATGGAGGCAAGGGAATTGGATGCAAAATATCGTCCAGTTTTCGCTTGGCACCCTGCCGGCGGGATTCCTCACGTACCACAAGATGCCGTCATCGAAGTGGTTGGAAATGTTTATGGGCAGAACGACGCCCCAGCCTCTTGGTTTCGCATTTTTGACGCTGAGGCCAAAGCGGCCAAATGGACTCCCTCCAAGTTCGATCCGTGTTTGTACACGCTGAGAAACCCAGATGGGTCTTTGGCAGGCATCATGGGCGTGCACGTTGATGATGTAGCTTTAGGAGGCATGGGCCCCATTTTACAACAATCTATTGACCATCTGAAGTCCCGATTTCCGCTTCAAAAGTGGAGACTGGGAACTGGAGAGTTTTGTGGAGCCTTTTACAAGCAAGACCCACTTTCAAAGGAGATTTCAACGTCACAACAGCAGTTTGCCGAAACCATGAAACTCCTTCATCCCGAAAGGGGCAAGTCCAGACAAGCCTCTGGAGCCAGCACAAGTTAGAGTGTTGCGAGGCATCAACAGCAGTCCAAACTGGATTGCCAATCAGTCTCGCCCAGACTTAGCTGTGCACACAAGTCTCAGTCAGCAGTGTTTTCCCAATCCCACAATCAGCAGTTTGCGTGATGCCAACTCTGCAGTTAGACGAGCCAAACAACATAAAGATCTAGCCATTAGTTTTCAGCAGATTCAGCCTTCTCGTTTGACCTTGTGCTGTCATTCAGATGCTGCAAACATTGGTGCCCACACACCAGCGGGATATGTGATTTCCTTTGTTGACAAAAACATTCAGAAAGGTGCTGTTTCTCCATGGGTTCCAGCGTTATGGCGCAGTTACAAACTGCCTCGTGCGGTGAGCTCCACGCTGGGAGGTGGGGCGCAAGCCATGTCCACAGCCAGTGGCACTGCTGAGTGGTTGACACTTCTCGTGTTGGAGGTCTTAGAAGGAACATTTGCCTTGCGAGAGTCCCGAAACTTGTTGCAGAAACGCCCCCCAATATATGCCACTGATTGCACATCTCTTTATGATCATCTTGTTTCCCCTTCTGCACCAACCTCCATTGATGATCGTAGAACCAGCATTGACGTGGTTATCATTCGGGAGTCATTGCAAACAACATGTTGTTCCGTGCGTTGGCTTCCAACTAACAGAATGTTGGCTGATGGCCGAACCAAAGATAAGATGGATCCAGTTGACTTGCTCAGATCGTGCATCAGAACAGGTCAATATCAAATTTCCCCTGAGGAATTAGTTTTGCAGCACACACAGGAAAGAGAGCGTAGAAAACAACGGCAAGCAGGTGTACAGGTAGATCAGAAGGGATCAGGCTTGAAGTGCTCAGTCTACTAGCAGCTTAATAGCAAAGACTCTGATGGTAGTGAGTAGACTTGGGAGAGTGTGTCACGTCTCACAATTTGTTGCCAGATTCCATGTTACACATCCAGTGCGAAGTCATGTCTTGGAGTTTTGAATTTTTCCTTGCACATATTCAGCTGGCTTGATCACAATTTTTGATGTTTGCACGCATTGTTTATCCAGTTCAGTTGCTTCTAGGACAAGTGAGCCGCTCACTCTGTTCCAGTGTCTCTCTGAGTCATGCCGCTGTCACCGGAAGAGCATGTGATGTTGCAGCAGCTTATGGAGAAAGCTAAGATGTCGTCATCGGTTTTGCTGTCCAGCGATGGGGGCAGCCGGGCAGCCACGATGGTGGTTTCTCCTTGATCTCTGAGGGCCCTCCCTCAGGAGCCATGACTGATGGAGCTAAGCGCCGTGATGATACATCTCCGATTGAAATCACCACCAAGAAGTTTGGCCTGAGTACCGGTGCGGCGCCTGTGAGCTCTCATGGTTTGACTCCCGCTATGATGGCCGGATACACAGCCATGATGCCCATTGCTGATCCGAAGCCTCTTGAGGCAGATGGTGTACAGTTGGGTTTGCCCCCGAAGGTTCCTGACCTTGCCACCTGGGGTCGTACCATCATCACCTGGGGAAAGTATAAGTCCGAAGGTATTTCGTCTGCTGAGTTGTTTGCGCGTCAGGATGAAAGGGCCCGTACCTACAAAGCCTGGCGCAAGAGTCGTGTAAAGACTTCCGAAGGTTTGTTGCTGGACCTGACACGTTTTCTTTTGATGTGCGAACACATCTCCAAGGGTCCAGCCTTGGAACAAGGCCCCATCATCCCAGGCACTTTTGAAGTGCGACACTGCAAGTGTCAAGTGACCTTAGACCTGGATTAAGATGACCTGATGCCAGCTCTTCTATGACCATTTAAAATAGAAGTAGAAGTATATTATAGGAGTGTTGAAGCCAGTTTCCATCAGCATGCATCCAGTGGTCACTTCCGCATATCGTCACTTTGCGATCCGGAGGACACTTTCCGGCTCAGGGAGGAAAAGGTCCGTCTCATGCCCCGGGCCCCCGATTCTCTGGTGAGAGCTTTGCCACTTGTAATCATACTAATCTATACTATGGTACATCATACGTACCATCGTAGTTCAGCAATGATTCTTGGTGGGCCATCTCTGCACGACCTGATCCCTGTGTCCCAGCGGGTCCCACCAAGCCCTCCACCTGCGCAATGGATTGCCGCACCCGGGCTGGTTCCCGCAGCAGTTGGTCCGGCACGTGCCCGGTGGAGATGCGACAGGCTTCCTGTGGCTCAACTGGTGCGAAACGTAGGGAATGGGGGAATGATGGGGCATGGGATGATTGTTAAAAGTTATGGATTAGATATGATTAGATCATTCTCCAATTCCGTTCAGCACAAGTAAATGAGGAGTTTCTATGGTGGAGGCAATAGCTATATAAATCCCTGTAAAACCATGGATGACCAACCCCCCCCGTATGGGCAAACTTGATCCAAGTCTTGACCATGGCATCACGCACAAAATGCACAACGAGTATCACCGTAAGTTCGAAGGGATGAATTAAAGTGGATTTGGAATGAATGAAAACGAATGTTCTTGCAGTGTCCCCATAAGGAATGTCCCCCTCCATAGACAAGACCTTGCATGAAATCCCATATAAATCTTCAATCCCCTGGGATTATCAGCTCCTTGAGGCCACTAAAGATTTGACCGCTATATCCATAGTACATCCAAAGTAAATCCATAGTATATCACATGGTTAGGGGATCACTTAGGGCACAGGAAAGTGGATCACTTAGAGCACCAGATCACTTAGAGCACCATGGGATCACTTAGAGCACAAAAAAAGGATCACTTAGAGCACCAGAGGTGGGGTGGGGTGGGGTGTGATAACGTCCTTCCGCTTTAGAAACAGGGACTATATCCTAACGCCATGAGATCTTCTCGAGCGCTTCCACACTTATGCTACGCCATGAGATCTTCTCTTACACTTGCACACCGGCATGATGCCACGCTATGAGATCTTCTTCTGTTGTCATGGGGGGGTGAGGTGGGGTGGTGTGGTGTGTGACAACGTCCTTCCGCTGTAGGCCCAGGGACTATATCCAAACGCCATGACTATGACTATGATAATGATGATGATGATGATGATGAGGAGGAGGAGGAGGATGACGATGATGACGATGATGATGATGACGATGATGATGATGATGATGATGATGATGGTGATGATGATGATGATGATGGTGATGCTGATAATGCTGATGATGCTGATGGTGATGTAGGTCATGAAAACATGATGATGCTACTGATCATGAAATATGATGGTGGTTGTCGTAGATGATGACGGTGATACTGACCATGATGATGAGGATGATGATTGAGGATGAGGATGAGGATGAGGATGAGGATGAGGATGATGATGATGATGATGATGATGATGATGATGATGCTGGTGATGATGATGATGATGATGATGATTTTGGAGTCACACGTGAGATGTTTTTTGAGTCACAAGCGAGACATTGCCCTTCAGTGCTAGGCACATATGAATGTGTCCATGTCTCTGTGTATATATGTAGCTCTAGCGCTATGTATCTCTTGTGTGTCTGTACGTGTCACTTTTCGGCGTTCCAAGCGATCCGCTCTCCGGCGCTCGAAGCGATCCACTTTCCGGCGCTCCAAGCGAACCCCCGACCTAGTGTATCCATAGTATATCCATAGTATATCCATAGTATATCCATAGTATATCCATAGCATATCATCCATAGCATATCATCCATAGTGTATCATCCATATCCGTCCATAGTATATCATCCATAGTATATCCATATAATTAAATAGTACATCCATAGTGCATCCATGTCTTAAACCACTTAAACCACTAAAGTGATCATGAAAGCCACCATCCGCCATCATTCCACCTTGGAGACAATCAGAAACATTCCCCGCAGCGACGTCGTGAAGGCGGCGAAGCCCAGCAGCAACGCTGCCAGAACCACCTGCCGCCACAAAGCCATCAGCCAGTGGCTTGACTATGTTTTATGGTAGATATAACGAACTAGTTAATGGATGTTAATGGGGTTTATAAACCAACTTATAACTGGGGGGGGCACCATCCTGAGTGTCTTTACATATTCTGGAAAATTCACATGCCGAACTACGGTCGGCCGATGCGAATGAAATGCATCTAATTAAAAAATAGTGAAAACAGTTTATCAGAGTGGTGAAACTATGCATGTCTTGCAACATCTTGGAACATCTCGGAACCATGATGAAGATTGATAAACCACATTATACCATTATTAATATATATATATACATATGATTATACCATATTATACCATATTATATATGTGATACAGTGATACAGTAAACCACATAATTCAAACCAATGTCTCCCCATGTTTCCGGCCTGTGGCTGCATTCGTGTTATCCCCATGGCGCCCAGCTCCGCGGCTCGGAAAAGCTCCTGAGAAGCAGCTGAAGCCATGACCCATCATTATGGTGATCATTATCTAACAATACTGATGATATATACCATATGATGATGATTGATCATTGTTATAATATTATTTTTTAATATATATATATATATCCATTGATCTGATATAATGATGACATATGGTATATCAATGATACATGATATGATTGATGTTATCATCAGATGATTGATGTTTATCAATAATGATATAATGATTTATATGATCATTGATAACATATAATGACGATCTCGAGCAGAATTTATTTGTGTAAAAAGAAACGAATGATGTTCTTTCAGTTTTCACCAGGGCATCCTCCTATAGTCAAACATGCCAATAGAATCACCAGCTTTGTTTTCCGTGGAAAACATCATGGGTCAACCATGATTTATCAACTATATCCCCATATTATTGATGGTTAAACTATGTGAAACATGATAAATACTCCCAATAATCCCAAATTCCCAATGATGCCATCAATAGTACAGTATAATCATTAAAAAGATGCTATGATCATGTATATAGTATGTATTTTTCACCATGAATATATTGAATAATTGATAGTCATCAACTGATGATTAGATACTGACAAAAAAAATCAGTTCAATAATCACATGCTACTTAGTGATTATATAATCATAAATAATCATAATTATTCTTCAAACTGATGTCAACTGGGGCATTAAAAACACTTGTCCCATCATCTCATCGCATGGATCCCACTTCGACCTCCCCAAGGCGACGCGGGTTCCCAATCAACAGCTGGCTGCCGAAGAGTTTGGGCACCTTTCCGCGGGCTAAAAGCTGGCTGAAACCGGGCATCTGAGAATCATTTTGGGCCATATTAATGTCTATAAAAAAAATATAGAATGATATACAGTAATATAGGAAAAGCCAGAAAAAAATATCCTGTATATGATAGAGATCATAGATTTTCCAATAGGATATAATAGGATATAATAGGATAAAAGATCTGTAATGAAATGATAATACCTAGAGAATACCTATATCTGGCGAGGTGGAATCTGAAATAGGATGAACCCGTCAATAATGGAATATGAAACGGGATCTATAATATACGGGATGTAAATGGATGTGACTATCTATTACAGGGACTTAATGGAGACATAATGGGGATATATTGCAAGGTGAGGCCCCCTAGATAGCTAAGTTGGTTTATGAATGTTTATAAATAGGATGTCTATCGATGGTGGTAGATCTAAGAATCTATGAATATTTATTGGTTGGTATAAACCAACTTATCACCTTGGTATGAATGTATTGTGGATACAAATGATCACCAACCAAAAACGGATGGTTTCATGTTCAAAAGGACAAAAATGGACAAAATATTGTGGACGACCCACATCAAACTCCATGGGCCCATGTTCCGCACGTCAAATTCCCCAGGGGAGTAACCCTCTGGTAATTTAACATAGCTATTGAAAATGGCAGTTTATAGTGAGTGTTCCCATTAAAAATGACAATTTTCAATAGCTATGTTAGTTTACCAGAGGGTAACCCTCCAGGGTGTAAAATGCACCTGCGCCAGCACAGCGTTTTTCAGCTGCGAAGCCAGGATCTCCGTCAACTCCTCGATGCCATTGGACAGGAAGCGTTCACGCACCTTCGAGCGGAGCTGAGGGCACGGAAACCGTGTTTTCGCAACCGGAGGGAGCAGCTGCTGAAAAGTTGCTTGGGGCTGGTTTCCTATCCTAAACCTATGGGAAAATGGTGAGGAAACTATACAGTGACTGGACAAAGAATGCATATACGATAGCCCTAGGAGTCAGGGATGAGTATTGTTTGATTCCGAAGAAAAGGCGCATTTTGCAAGACAATACACCGCCCAAAAAACTAGGGAGAGCATTTGAAGCACAATTTCAAGTGAGGTTCAACATGGTTCAACCACTTTCGAAGATTGGGAAATCGTTTTCATGGTAAACCAACGATAAACGACATGCAAAACATTGCAAAACTATCTCAAGTCTCAACTCGTGCTTTTGCAAACTCAATGACATTCTCCAGTTGGATTGGGTATCCCATGATTTAATCCCATCCCATGTCCCATTTTGACGAATCCCATGGACTGCCATGGTAGTTCATGCGGCTAAAACCATAAAAAAAAAATAAACCATCCCTCAGTCATCAGTCATCAACATTTTTTAGGGTGCTATTCCAACCATCCAAAAAAAATGGGGTGCTTTATGGCATTATATGGCATTGTTTTACCCAAAAAAATTGCCCAACAAATTGCCCTTTATAAAACCGGGAAGTCCATCCACCAAGGCACTGAGAAGTCCTTCACCGACATGCCACGTGTCATCTTCCCCAGCACCAGCCGAGCCTGGGCTCATGGAGGCGCCAGTGGCACGGCTGGTTTCGCAGGGTGAATGTGGATGGACTTCAAAGAAAACCAGAGTTTAGAGGGAACCAGTGGGGGTTTACCACCTGATATGCTGTTTTCTAATGTTTTCTAGCTATAGTTCCATCGAAAACCTGTGCAAATCAACCGACCATGGCTTGAAACCATCAATATTTCGCTGCTTGTGTGGTGTGGTTGGTCATTTTCCCAAGAGTTTCGGACCTGCATAAGCTGGGTGATGTTCGGGGATAAACGATACCAGCAACCTGGGTTGTGATGCAAAACAAAACTATGAATAACACGAATCATAGTTATAGTAATATGAATAATATTCATGATGATTTATTATAATTATTAATATTTATGATCAACATATTGCAAAACATAATATCAACACAATATGAATAAATGATAATAATGATAGTTGATAATAATAGTAATACAGTAATATGTAATAATATGTAGTAATAATATGTAATAATATGTAATAATATGTAATAATATGTAATAATATTCATGATGATAATAATATCAATAGTAGAAAACACATGGAAAACCTATTCCAACTCCAACCAAACGACAATTTGGGCAAAATGTATATACTTTAGACTACAGGACCTGACTACCATTGAAGTATACTCTTTTGGGGACTTCAACATGTAATTTTTGGCAGTGCCCAGCAATGCATCCAGTAAGCCACTTGAGGTTTGGTGATCCCAAAGTCCCAGGAGGGTGTCCATGTTTAATAGTATGTTCCCACCATGGATGTTTGGAGTGTTCATGGAGTGTTCATAGTCTGTTTGAGCCACACCTACTTTCATAGTTTGTTCATTGTTTTAGCCTCCCTATCTTCCATGTTTTCATGGGACTTGAGTAACTGAAACATCACTTGAAATGGCCATTCACTGGAGTGGTTTCCGTGGAAAATTCTACGGGAATCCATGATTTTCCCCATCAAATTAGCGGTGTCCGGTTTTTATGTTCCCTTAAACCCATCCAACGAACCATTCAACGCTGTTTTTTTTGTCCGAAACGCCTGATGCACGTCCAACGGGAGCGTTAATCTCAGCAGCATCCTTATAGTCGAAACTCGTCGACCGACGCAGGATGGAGGCTGGGGTGGGTTTTGCTGGGAATGGTCACAAGAAACCATGTTTTTTTCTTTTTCCAAAAAATATAGGTGTTTCCGAAAAATCATTCAATTATCCTGTAAATATAGTTAAACACTGTTAAACATAGGAGTTTCCTTGTCATTGAACGTTTTAAATTTAGGAGTTTCCAGTAACTCTTCCCTGAAATCACTAATCACACACCTAATTACGCGACCATCTTTTTTAGATTTGTTTAGCCAGTGACAATCTCAGCGTCGGTGACACATGAGACAGGTTCTTATGGATGAGGGAACATTATTGCTAACTAGTTCTTGTCAGTGATTCACATATCCCCTGCTTTGACCATTGCAAAAATCATGTCCAAAAAAAGACCATCCGTGCCCGTGCTGTCTGGAACTGTGTGTTGTCTTTTTTGTTCTTCATCCTGGTAACGGTGCTGTCCGGAACACTCCTTACCATTGTAACAGATTGTTACCATCATCCCTTGAGCCACCGATGAATGTCCATCTCCTGGAAGGGATGTGTTTTCACGTCTTACTTTTTTTTCAAATAAACTATAACTTCAGAATCATAAGCCATAATCTGGCCAGATGTTCATGACTCTAATCTTATTACATGTTGCACGTTTAACCGCAGTAACCACAACCACAATATCAAGGTCAACATCAGCGATGAGCCATATTCCAAGCATCTCCAAGGCTTGCAGTTCTTCCTTCCTCTCGGAAGTGGAGCTGCCCGTCCCGGTGAAGCTCCTCAGTTTCATCATGTTTCATCCCATATATTCCACTATTCCACCATGGTTTCCAGATGTCCACCATGGTGATGTATGGTGATAACATGCGATAACCTTCCCAACAGCGTTCATACTAACATTTCGCCAACATTCACAGCTTTACTCTGCTTTACCGAAAATGAATGTACTCCCACATGCAAACAAACACGCATCAATCATCTTTAAAATTCTTGACCATCTCTTATGACACTTAATACTCCTACTTGTTTCGGACTTAAAACCCAACCCATCTGCACCAGGAACCGGAAATCGGGAGGACAGCTCTGCCCAGTGACAAAGTCATGACACAACAGATCTTCCGCAGCATCAATTCGCGGATCACCACAGGGGTCTGATCTTTGAAGTCCTCGCTGAGGTGGAGAAAGAGAACACGCCCCAATTGGTCTACCAGTCTATCATTGGGGCTTGCACGAGGATTCTTCAAACTTGGATAGAGCATGATAATCATGATAGAGCATGATAGAGCCATATTTCGAGATGTGAATATGTTCCAGGGCGCATCATCAATTCCAGATTTTGGTAGTGAAAAAGGATGAAAAAGGCATCAACACCAGTCCCAGCACCACGAGTCCTCTGCGGTGGGATTTTGGACCACCCGAGGCTCGCCTAGAGGCGAGACGACGTGATGCGAAGAGACAGAGGCAGTTGGAAATCCCAAATGGTCCTATATGGTCCTATAAATCTGTATATAGATATATATAAATATATGGGAATAATATGGGTATAAATATAAATGGATGATTGTCCATTGCCATTGCTTAATTTGCTAGGTAGATGACATGGGTAGGTCCAGCCAATAGAGGATTGAACCAAAAAGTATAAAGAAAATAAGGCTGCTTAGGGAAAATCCACCTGATGCGGATGGAGCGTTCCAAATGTTGGACTGACATACCCATATCAGCCCTGTCAATCTACAATATCCAAGTGGTTGACATATTTTCATACGAATATAAGAACGATCTATTACGTACAAACCCGAAAACTGATCTCAGACCATTTTGGATGGTTTACCCAACGTAACATTGCTTCGTACCTATCATTTATAATTCGAATTTCTTTCCGGTCGCTACGGATTTTCCATATTTGAAACTGTCTGCTTGGTTTCTTCCTTAACAACTCTTCAAACAATCCCTCAAAGAATCTGCATAAAGCATCATGAAGCATCATAAGGCATCATAATTCACAAGAAAAACCTCTGAGATAAGGATATGTAATGCTATGTATATCTATTGGAAGAGTTCCCCCCATCCCAAACCACCGGTGCCAGAACTGGCTCCAGACCATCCCCTTGGCTTCGCTACAATATCTCAGGTCCACCAAGGCATCGTCAGGATTCATGTCCTCGCAGCAACTGCATGGCTTTTCCACATGGGCTTTTCCATGGCTCCATGTTCCGAAAAAGGGAAAGACGCCACCAAACTGCCATGAAATTGCCATGAAACCAGGATCTCCTCTGCATCCAATGCATGCGCCAGATGCTGCATGGGCTTCTGTTGCCGCAGCGTGCCGGTTTTAAGCACACTGGACCTGGTTGGCGAAAGAATCCAAGGACGACCCAACAATTATGCTATGATGTTCTATGGGGGTGCTTTCAAAGTGAACAATACATCAATTTAGCAATTTATTCAGGCAAGCTGAAGGTGTAAGACTTGATTAGCTTGAGAGAAGATCGATATTTGATCAAACTCTGCATGAACATGAATGAACCAACAAGAAGTGCAAATTTGTTCATGCGGATATAATTGGATATGAGGGGATACAATAAGTCAAAAAGCCATAATGCATTAAATGCCGGGAGATCATGGGACATAATGGGACACCAAAGAGCTTTTTTTTCCTGAGTTGGGTGCGTCTCAAGCTATATGGTTGTGATGGGCCCCCAATGTAAGTTGCCATGGAGTTGTGGGGAAAATGATGAAAACATGGGATGAATGGACCCCTGACACTGGTTGAGGTTGCGCAACTCCCAAGGAACTATGTCATACGTGCCATGGCATGTACACACTTGCGGTGATCGCTTGTCATCATACCTTTTCTTGATCGCTTGTCATGTCATGTTTGTCAAGGATCCAGGTCTTCTGTGCCATTTCCCGTTTAGGATATAGATGATATAGATGATGCTTAAACAAATGGAACCAGATTCTTTAACTTTCTTAACACATGCAACTTACCGGAATGATCTGTGTGAAGTTCCTTCGCCAGGTCAGAAAGCTTAAAAAACAGCGCCCGACCAGCTCTGAGAATCCCTGACAGCTCCAGAACCCAAACCACCACCTGGCAGATCAAAGGCCCAGCGGTTGTGCCAAAAGTCCTTGAAATCTCAAAAGAGCCAGCATCCATTCTGGGAATTTTATTGATGAATTCATTGGTCTATGATGAAAAAGTAGGAGTACTAAGTACTAAGTACTGAGTCAAGTAATAAACAACCAGGGTAGGATCGCAAAAACAGTGAATATGCTCTCCAAAACAAAATCATTCTTGGGAAGATCTGTGCATTGAAACTCTGAAAATCCTTCACATCTTTAATTGGGTCCTGATTCTAATACATCTGCTTCAAAGCCATCCCCAATATCATACTAGCCATCGGCCATGTTGTCGCTCAACAAAATCTATCCAGACCCTCTGAAAAAATATTGGGATGAATTTTCAATCCCACAGTTATATTAAAAAAGGTATTTTAACCATGATTTAACATGATTTAACCATGTTGAATCCCAACCGTTGGATCTTTCAAACCTCCAATCTTTGGAGCCTCAGAGACCAAGGCCGTCTCGATATGGAGCCCCAAGGGTTGCACCTTCAACTCCAATCGCCGCACCTGGCACCAAAAACGAGCAGGGGATCACTCCTCAGTATGACATGATTCATGGATAATTAGTATGTATATATATATATGTTAATAGATGTTAATAGTTGTTAATAGTTGCTCATTCAGACAATTTCATCTTCAAATCATAGATATCATTTATATTTATATATATATATTTATACATTTATATATATATATATATCTATATATGTATATATTATATTATATATATATATATGTATATTATATATATATATTATATATATATATTTATATCATTTAAATAACATCAGTATGAAGTTCCGCCGTTTTTTTCGCCCCAGGCCGCCAGGCCCCACCTCGTAATGCGCTGATCCATCCCTCGTATCGATGGCCTCACATGGCCAAGTGGCCAAGGCAAAAAGCTCACTGGTCACCCGAAAACTGAAAAAATCGTTGGGATATGTTGGGATTGTATAAAAACCCAAAATCGTTCTTTTTAAATGTCCCCAAATCATGTTATCGTTTTTTTTGGTTACTCTTATCGTTTTCTCAGGTGGCTGTCTGTGCTAGAAATGTGGTTTTTCCAGCTTTCTGTGGGTGTGAAAGCATCCTTGGTCGAAAGTCAACAAATGTCATCTGTTCCTTTCATCCTCCTTTCATGTTGCTTTCATGTTCCTTTCATACCGATTTCATGTTGTATTCATTTCCGTTCATGTTCCTTTCATTTTGCATTATGTTCCTTTCATTTTGCATTATTTTCCTCTCATGTTCCTTTCATTTTCCTTTCATGTTCCTTTCATGTTCCTTTCATTTTCCTTTCATGTCCTTTCATTTTCCGTCGCCATGTATCAAACATACAAGTCTTTGAAAGGTGATATGTTCAAGCCGGTCAGGTGGGTATCCGCCCAACCGTTCACGTTTTCATCATATGTCGTTATCGTTTTTGTTATCGTGTTGCTATCGTTTTGGAGGCCTGTGCAGGTTGCCATCTTCAGGGTTCATGAACATGTACATGTATAAGTATAAGTTCGTTATCGTTTTCTGGGCTGTTAATGCATTGGTAGTGCCAAGGGGCAAGCCAAGCTAAAATAAAAGGCCCGGGGTTATTATACTGCCCCAGTTGATATACTTCAATCATCTCATAGCATGGTGTAAACTCAGTAAACAAAACATAACAAAACCAGACCCAGTTTGCTAATCCCCAAAATTACAAGTTTATGACATTATTAATAGGTTTACAATGGTTTCCAGCATCGATGCCTGGAAAAAAAATCCAGAGTCAAAACAATCCTTCGTGCATCGGGTACACCTTGGAACTATCAGCTCCACCCTCTTGGTTCTCCGTCACCAACTTCAACCTTAGACCCGCAAGACATGGCATGGCTCAGCATCGTGAAACCATCAACCACCCCTTGCGTGCCGAAAAATCTGTCAAAAAAAAATCGTTGCGGCATCTGATATAGATTTGACGCAAATATTATACAAAACGATCCCATTGAAAGGCTACAAGAATTACTCGCAGCACATCAGCTCATCTGTAGATTCATTGGTTTATCCAACCATTTCCACACCACAGTTCCATGGCCAACCTGAATTGCAACAAAAATCATCCACGAACCACTCACCACCAAAGATTGGCAACGCTCTTGTTGTTTAAATCCCCGCTTGTTCTTCGGATTTGTGGTTGAACACAAGATCACATGTTTGTTCGATGCCTTGTTATGAACCCCTATTAACCATCATAAAGCCTCCATTCTTTCTTTTGAAAGTTTCCCGGATTTCAGTTCCAAAATGCTACATGTATGGAATATCTACCAACATTCACAGTACACTAAGACCAAACCTGATCCAGTCATACAGGTAAAAATATTATATATGTTTTCAAACTGTTGCAAACATCCCAAGTTGAATTCCTCCCAAAATTTCCCAAGTTCCAAGTTGGTGAAGTATGGTGAAGCCCAAAAATCTCGGCTTTTCCGTTTTGGCGTTTTGTTGAAACCGAGCGGCATGGCTTCCATGTGCACAATCGGCGGCGGCTCGCCGTCTTGCGAGAGGATCTGCAGCGGCCCGGTGAAGGGACGAAGGACCGAGTGACATGCCTTGCCTCGGATGGGATGGGAATCAGGGGGATCCCCAGGGATGATATCCAGGTACTGTAAATCACCATTACATCACCATAATGCCTGGGATGGGAATCCCTATCATCCACCAAAAATCATGGGGATTCCAGGGATTGGTGGATTGATGTGGTGATAGGGATTGATATCATGGGGATATCATGGAAATTTAAGCAACAAATACATAGAAATACATAGAAATACATAGAAATACATAGAAATACCAAGAATTGTTCATCCCCATGAGCCATGTCGGAGTGAATTGACATTATCCATCATTATCCCCATGATATTCTACTAATATAACCAACTGCGCAAGATGATTCAAAGGATTGGAGAGGTGGCCCCGAGGGCAGACAAGGATAAGGAAAGGACATGGATCCATCTAGATGTGTTGGATCAAATATCAATTAATGGATTAAACACATACTAAACCATCTATAGTCGTCGATGAAATGGTAGTTGGATTCGATGGCAATCTTCGTTTGTATTGAATAGATGACAAACAATGGGATTTTGTATACGATTGTGGAATGGAGCTGCGAGTGGACATTCAAAGGGATGATGTAAACACGGATATGGTAGGGTAATACGCTACCGACTGGAGTGATAAGGGAGATTCAATTGCCGGACGGGGCATGGTACTTGGATTGTCCTGCAAGTTAGCAATACGTTTCTTAACACTTTTTTTTTGACATAACCATTTACCCGGTTGTACCCATAGTAACCCTGTACAACTTGGGGTATAAGCCAATGCATCCCAGTTCTATGAGGTACTGTTGATACCCAGTCAGTAACAAATTACTGACTTCGGGGATTCACTACTCAAGGGTTGGGTTTGAATCCAAATAAATGGGTCCTAGGGATACTTGTCTTCAAGGCCTCACCTACAGCAATCCCATAGATCATCAACCTCAAATCAAAAACATATGACATTATTGACAATCGGAAGGTAGCTCTTCCAGGTTCATCAAAAGATCTAACACTTCATAGGGGGCCAAGAAATGTAGGAGGGTGGAGTGGCATTTCTGAGCTGGGCTATCGAACCTCCCTCTTTGCTGGCGGCGGAAGTTCTGTATTTGAAACTGGTAATCTTGTCGTTGCATTCTTTCGAGGGATCTGCTTACAGGAAACCGCATTTGTTCACAATCCAAACGCAGGGGGTTCCGGTTTCCTCTTGATATTCTCAATCAAAATTGGGAAGTAACATACTATCACACCTCCATCTCGAAAGTTCCTCCCTTGGTCGCCCTCTTGCAACTGAGAAGCTATGGTGCTTCGCCTCTCCTCAGTTGGGAAAATCACACGGCGGGATACCCAATGCTGAAAACAGTGATGCATTGTGCATGTAATTATAATGGGTATTGTCTGCTGTGTATTTGGAAGTTATCAATGTACTGTGACTGTGTCTGCATCTTATAATGCATACATAATGTGATCCCTCACACACAATGTCACCATGTGTGTGTGTGTATGATTCTTATGCTGACAATGTACTCTCTACCCGGCCATATGTCATGCGCATTCAACACAAAACAGGTGTAGACACTGAAGCTTTCCCAACCCACACCATCTATACCTGCAATATCCTGTAATTTTGGCTGTCGTCCCATATATTTGGATCTAACCACCACCAGGGCAAGGCACCTGTGCCCACGTCCAGGTGCAACGACCGCAGCTTCAGCTCGCTCCACAAGGCCCCGGCGCGGCCCTCCACGTCCGTCTTGGCTGCCACCTGCCGCAGCTTCACCTGAAAGAGGCTCCGGCAACTAACATCAATTAGCCATGATCATTTAGGGTTGGTTGAATCAAGTTGAATCCCCCTGAAGGCATTTGAAAAATGACCCCCCCCCTTTTCATTGGTTGAATCCCCTACCCCCAGATCCCTATAACTGTGCTCATAAAAACCCGGCAAACCACCGCCCCGTTTCGGCCCACCGTCAACGACTTCAGGGAGGCGTAGCCCAACTCGTGGCTCTCGCGGGTGTCCAGCTGCATGTCCAACATGGCCACGCCCAAACCTTCCACGTAGAGGTCCTTAGAACGGTGAATCTACCAGCACTGGAAATGGCTGTTTTCATGGGAAACTGATCTTCCAAACTGTGGAATTTGGACGTGGGGGTTTGGGGATGAAAAACTATGGGAATCTACAAAGCGCCCATTTCAAACACAGCTTGGTTTCAGAGAAAATCCTGCAGAAAAGTGGCTAAAGCCCAGTCCAACCTGAGTCCGGCAGAAACAAGGCAGCAGATATCCCACCAAATCAGCATCGGAAGTCAGCTGAAGTAGAGCGATAAAGGACTAAATATACTACATTGTATATATATATATATACATACATACATATATATATATACATATACATATGTTTATATATAAATAATAGATATATGAATATGTAAATATGTGATAATATGTGCTAAGGTAATAAATAATATACAAATCGTCAATCAAATCAGCAGGACTAAGACCAAAGAATGTTCAGCCGAAGCGTATGTGTAGGTTTCAATGGGTTGCAATGCCTCCAAAACCATGCAAATCCAGTTTTCAACAGGTTGCTTTGTTTATGTTGGTTCTGTGAATAGATCCATGATGTGTCCCTGATTTCGGGTATTTGGTTGTTTGATTCTCTTGTTCTTTATCAATCCCACCTAGCTCTGGTTATGTAAGTATACCCGTATATCAAGATATCTACTGCCGTCAAATCCCAAGCTTTACTGGTTCAATCACCCCAACTTTCCTTGCAAAAACTTACTTGAACCCTTCATTTTCCGCGGTTCAACTGCCCATGTTACAATGTTTGTTGGTTGAACTCCCTAATTTTTGCTTGGACAAATCCCTAATTTTGGGATGTAAGACCACTGTTGGGTTAGATCAATTCCCATTTTTTTGTTGGATAAGTCCACTTTCCAAATGCCCATGAACTTCAGAGTTCCACGCCCGGCCTCTCCACATCTTCTCCCAGTGCCACTTCTGCTCTCGCAGGTCTCATCCGTACAGCCTAGTAAAAAAATGTGACCATGGCATTGTGGGAATTTCATGGTGCTTTAGGGTAGTGGTGATTAACGGGAATATAGCCACCTAAATAGGGGGATATCATATCAAAAATACCCTCTGGCATATCATGTGAAAAGCAAAGTAATATAGAAAAATATAGTAAAAATAACTATAGCATACTATAGCTAATTATGTTAAATTACTATTGGTCATTGCCACTGGACAGATTTATTTCAGCTTCTTTTCACATCCCATGTTTGGGGGCCCCCAGTCATGAATCCAAGACATCCAACCAGAAGAAACGGCGATGCCAAAATTGGGGACGTCAGTTTTCACAGAATCGGTGGTGGATGAAAAACCATCAATCCCATGCACCAATGAATCATGGAAATATCATGGGTGTGTCTGAAATTCTTAGGCATACCCACAATTTGTGGCACTGTGAAAAATATATTCATACGGAAAATGAAGTGAATAACCCATTTATTACGGGTACCCTATTTTTGGACAAACCTATGCAAGTTTTTTTGGCGGCATGAAGAATTCCTATTCGTGATAAAGGGGCTATAAATATCTATGAACGTTGTATACAATGTATATGTATATATAAAACACAGTCTGCAAATGGGTTGCCTCTGCTGATCGATGGCATATATATATAATTATATAATTATATAATTATATATATATATATCATGATATTATGACGATGCGGTATATCATTGATAAATACCTCGATGATAATACATGCTGATACATGCTGAATCCTGATCCTTGGACAAGCTCGCATGAACAAATCTACTGCTACTCTGACTTGGATTTGCTCAAGAACTCGAGGGGGCTCTAACAAAAGATATTCTAAAACATAATGGTTCCTCTCTATGGTGTATAAATACTACAAATCAACTGGGTGTTTTGGGTTAAGAAAATTTGCGACTCAACAGTTCTCCAGCACCAGATATCTGGTGGCCACAATGGATGGCTCCCATCCGAGCAAACGTCATGGTCCAATGGTCTGAAAATATGGTGCCCAACAGTTTGATTGTCAATCATCATTATGTTCGTTACCCTCTGGTAATTTAACATAGCTATTGAAAATACCACATTTATAGTGGATTTACCCATTGATAGCATGGTGATTTTCCATAGTTATGTAAACGTTTACCAGAGGGTACTATTTGCTATTTCCCATTGATCATCCCATACAATGAGAATAATGATCCATGTACATCCCATATGGTTGTTAATATGGAGCTTTCCTAAGTCATTGGGCTACCCCCAAATCATCGATTTTAGCAGGATTTTCCATTACAAACCATCCAGCTATTGGGGGATCCCCCATTTATGGATTGATCTCCCCATGAAAACCACAGCCTCGGCCCGGCCTTTTTCCTCCTCTGCGGCTGTGGTGGAGGCTTGGCTTTAAAACACCAGCGCCGACGCGCAGGCCTTGGACGATGGCGTTTCACCGTATGGTCAATGGGATGATAAATGGATTTCATGGATCTACTGATGAGGCCATCCATAAGATGGGTTTATGATGGGTCTATCATGGAAAATTATGGTTATTGGGGAAATCTATGATGAAATGAGTTCTATTGTCATGAAAGGGGATGGTTGGCTAAAGTGACTGCACCAACAAAGACTCGCGAGATGAACATGACGAAAATGGATGGCGTTTTCACTGACTGAGCTGATTTGACTTGACCAATCATTCAGCTGGGTTTGAGCAAACTAAACAGGGGATTGGAATTTGGGGCAGGGACCACATCCATTCTACACTAATGTTCTTATAACAATAGTAAACTTCAGCCAATAGTAAAATGATGCGTAAAAATTACCTTTTTTTTGCCAATACTAAAAGTAAAAGAACCTTTATTAATTTTTGTATTGCTATGTTACCTATCTCCCGACGACCTCCCGAAATTTATTACCTGAACAAGCAATTGTATTTTGTTTGTTTCGACCTCAACGTTTTTGTGAGTAAATACAGTATACCATTAATAAACACGAGAATGCATAACAATAACAAACTCAAATGAATATCCTTCTTGTTTTTCCCTTCAAAGAAAACAATAATAAACCCAAAAATACTGTATCTGTGGTTGTTGTGTGTTTTTATCTGTTTAGTTTGAATCAAAATTACAGAGAAAACAGTTTCCTCTTTCAACAAGAAAACCTTAGAGAAACAACAAAAACTCTAAAAAAAATACATTTCCAGTTCCGAAAGAGCTGATCTCTTACTAAACTGTCTGTAAAAAAATGCTATTTTTCGAGCTCAGAAAGGATACCCCCCCATGGAGTGCCACGAAAAGCAATCATAAACCCAGAAGTGCCTAGGCAATAGCAATCTGTTTCCGTTGTCGGTCTCCAGCTCCAAAAGAGTTGATGTCTTACAAAGCTGTCTTTAAAAATTCAATTTTTCGAGCTTAGAAAGGGTGCCCGGATACCCCCCATGGAGCGCCAAGATAAAAATAATAAACCCAGGAGTGCCTAGGCAATCAAAAACTGCCCCCAGTGTCGATGTTGTTTCTATTTGATTTGGGATTCGCCCATCTCTTCTATTAGAACCCTTATAATAATGTTTTCCCGGGCAAGAAATTTCAAATAACTAGCTCACAAAGGCCACAAGCTGAGGCCCCGTCGAAAACATTAAGAAGTTCAAAGGCAATAGTAAATTTCGACACCTGACAATGCTGTTTTCTGTCATGTTAATTTGATTCTCTATTGCAGAGAAAGCCATTGCCTTTCACAAGATACAGGTTTCACTTTGATCAAAACAAAAACAAAAACGAAGAAATAGTAAGTTGCAAAAAACTGTTTTCTTCCTATACCCTGTAAAAACAACGATGCTTTTGAAGCTTACAAAGGCTACCCAACTTGGAGCGCCACTAAGACCATTACGAAACCAAAAAGTGCATGTGCGATATGATATTGACACGACTGGCAACCTTGTAGTATTTCCGAATTCAAACTTAAAAAACCATTCGGGGGGCGGCTGAGGTTTGGAGCTGTCCCCGAAATAAATGAAGACTGAAGGTTCTAGAGTTAGGGCCGCCCCCATAGCGAACGAGGGTTTACGTTCGAGACGGGATAAAGCTTGGGGTGGAAGGGTTTGGAGGCTGGGCGAGGGCTGGAGTGGCTGGCGTGGCGTGGCTGGGGTGGCGTGGCTGGGGTGGCTGCGGTGGCTGCGGTGGCTGGGGTCGCTGGCGCGGCTGGGATCAGAGGTCTGTGGTTCGATTCCCGGGGGCACGCATTAGATATGACGCGCGCAACGCTACAATGATTGGCGCAGGGCTGCCTTGCCACAGCAAGGAATATCACCAAGGCTTCGTGCACCACAGAACCTCTTTACCCTCCACGTGGAAGCCAAAAGAAAGTCTTCAGTCAATATCAGTCAGGGGGCACGGCCTCAGCTTTGCGTTACCAAGGCTTCTTGCATCACAACCTCTTGAGCTTTTAGGTGGAAGTTGAAAGAAAGCCTTCAATCAATATCAGTCAGAGGGCACCGGCACAAGCCTTCCGATGCATCATGTTGTAAAGGGATGCCTGTTCCAAAAGCTGTGTTTTCATGCATTGAAAAGACGCTTTATTTCCGAACACGCTAGTTTCACGAGTTTTTTGAAGTTGATACATCATGTTGTATAAGCAACTTCTGTTTTAAAAGTGTTGACCTCTTATTACACCGTTCTTAAAAAGAAACTTTTTCGAGCTCACAAAGGGCACCCACCCCCCGGTGAGGTGTCAGTACGGGAAATACTAAACCCGGAAATGCGTAGGCAATAATATACTGACACCATTGGCCGTGTTGTTTTCTGAATAGCATATAGACGAAGTAAAGGCAACAACAAAAAATCATCGGTGAAAGGTGAAAACAATAATAATCTCACGGAATGGCCGTAGATTATCTTTTGAATTTTGTTACATTTTAAATTGATTTTAAAAGGGAGCGAAAGGGAATCAACTGTACGACCTGCCCCCCCAAGATATAGTTTAAGCAATTATTAATTATATTTCTTCAGCAGCAAAAGCAATAATAAATTTGAAAAACATCCATAGGTATTATTGTTTGCTATTTAAATTGATTTTAAAAGGGATTGAATGATTGTTTTTTTTGAAAAAAAGGGGAAACTTATTATTGTCATAAGGACATTACTTTGTTATACCCATGTTCAGCTATGTGATTTTGATCCGTCTCCACCTGCAGAAAAAATAAGCCTGGCATAACCTGGTCATGAATCATGCCATTTTTTTAGTAGGAACGACCGTTTCCCATCACATTGCTCTTGATTCAAGTTTGAAATCATTATCTGGTTTGGTTTCAACCCCTCTGAAAAATATGAAAGTCAGTTGGGATGATTATTCCATATATGATGGAAAAATAAAAAATGTTCCAAACCACCAGCCAGTTATCTATGAACCTCAACAACACAGAGTAAGAATTGACCCAACCATCGATGAATTGATGTGGCTGCCACTTGCAGTGGAATATGGTGAAATCCTGTTAGCAACTCCAGGAATCCACGATGACTAACGATGAAGCACCTTTGAACTGCACCCATCTGCTCCATGTCTGGAATATTTAGCAACACTTACCCCCAAAAATGACCAAATGTAAGTCATGATGATATGTTTGATCCATACCCTACTAGTATCAATTGTAGGTACATCATGGTACATTATCCCATCTCCATCCCAACTGGCGATGGTAAAAATATGTAAAAATGCCATCTGAGGCACTTCAGACTCAGGCCGGTCATTGCCGACGACAGAGTACTGGTCATTGTAACCTGCGGTTGGGGGTGGCATGGAATCCCCATTGGTGACCTAGTGACCTAGTGTTCACCCCAAAATTAGGATTGATGGATGTTAATCCCTCAACATTTCCGGAAAATTGTAGATGGTTTTTTTGACCCGCAGATGTCAAAAATGTCAAAATGGTTAGTGCTCATGGATCGCAATGACGATGTCAGGGCTGTGTTTTTTTTGGTTCACCGGCCTTTTTGCACTGATACACTGAGCTAGGTTATTGATGAGGCGAACCACAAGGCCGGATGGTACTCCTGCAAACCCTTGGTTTATACTTATCCAAAACTGCCTACATCATGAAGTATTCAAATGTATTCAGTGATCCCCACAGGCCTTGAAATATCTTCTATCCATACATATCAATCATATTTTCAGGGATATACCTTCCACTTCGCTTCTTACCCCCACCCCAACTGCAGCAGAAGGACCCACTCGATGAAGCGCCCGCGTTTGTGCATGCCCGACTCAATCGAGGGTCTACGACCTTAGTTGGGTGCACATGGCCTGGATGATGTGAAGGGAAACTTTGCAGGAACTTCCCATATTTCATTGGCAGATCCATGGTTTCCGGTGATGTTCCCATTAAGAAATCCACTGAATATACCAGCTAAACGCGCTTGATATCACCGGATCACATGAGACATAGTGGATTATATGGATGATTCTTTTAAGAAACTCGTTAACCTGACAATTGAAGAATATATATGGGAAAAGGGAATACCTCCTTTGACGGAAATGAAATAATTGGGAAAATAAGAAGGATAAGAGGAGATTCCTCAAAGCTTGAACAACCATCTGGCTGTGGTCAGTTGGGTACTGTACCTAGTTGCTACCTAGCCCCAGAGTTGGAATTTTTGGGGTTTAATTGGAACGGTTTACTAGTTTGGACCCGTTCATTGGTTGAAAATGGCAGAATGTCGCAAGAGTGACAGGGTCTTGCGCGCAATGCCGCTTGTGGTCATGACTTTACGGCCCAAGTGTGGTTGCTCCCAAGTCCAGAGTCTGATTCCCAGTCCGAAGTATGTGGAAATTCACCGCTGCAGATTGACTTCCCATGGGATTGAAAAGCAATGCATGGATGGATGATGATGGATAATGGATATATATGACTATATGATATATCTCATCTCAACTTGTGCAGTGACCGAAGCAGTGTCCCAACTAGATTCTTTAGTGCCATCTCATGACGGGGAATATAACGCCCACAATACCCAAAATCGGGACATGCCAGCAATCCAGCACACCTCATAGAAATTGGCCATATCGGTACCTTTGTTTCTCCCATCCCATTTAAATCCCAAGATTCCCATGGATATTTCCCCATGATTGTTGCACCGTTGATGGATTATTTTCCCAGCTGTAAACATCCATTTGCTGCGGGGATGTCCCATATTTTCTATGATGTTCCCATTAAAATGTCCATCTTTATCCTCAGAGATTTCCAACAAGTCTTATGATCTTCCCATTGAATCCAGCATTTTTATGCATTTTTCTAGTGAATGTCCCATATCTTTTCTCTGATTTCCGGACTTTCCTGTCCAAAACCATCCGAAAACATAGGACTGTCGCCACATATTTCTTCAATGGTTTTCCCACATATTTGTCCATCTAAACGAACATTTTCCGATGGTTTTCCCATATTTTCCCATCGAAATCCCCCAGTTTCAGTGGTGGATTCTCCCCCTATTGCCTCACCCCCAGGCGCCGCGCGGCTGTGCTGCGCATCCTGCGCCTCGGCCGCCTCGGCCTCCTCCGAGGTCACGGAGAAGAGGCGCTGCTGCACCTGGGTCTCCTTCGAAAATCCCAGGGATTTCAGAGGAAATTCATCCCATGACGGATCCTAACGGTGCTGCGAAAGAAATGGTGTCACATGGATCCCATCAACAAAAAACCCCTTTATGTTAGCATTAATATACCAGCACCGTTTGGATCCGTCATGGGCATAGGAATTTAAGCATGAAAACATGGTTCCAATGATTGCATGGTGTTTTTTTTGTTGCAACCATTGATTAGCCTCTGGTGAACTAAGATAGCTATTGAAAAAATCACCCGTTTTTTTAAGTAGTTTTTAAGGGGTAAACCATCTATACATGGGCCATAATCCATAGCTATGTTAGTTTACTAGAGGCTATTTGGGATTCCGTAGGGATTGAAGCATCAACTCAATAGGGATTTCAGAAAGGTACTTACTTCTGAACTTACCCGGCCTGGTAAACTAACATAGCTATTGAACATGGCCATAGAAATAGTGGATTTTCCCATTAAAAATGGTGATTTTCGATAGCTATGTTAAATTACCAGAGGGTAACCATCAACAGCGACTTCTTTGAAAGGGACTTAACAATATCTGAAAGTGAGATTTTACCATCAACAAGAGTGATTCTTCATAGGATCTTCATAGGGAACGATATCTGAAAACGGAGATAACGGGATTAACCATCAACAATAGGGATGTTTCTCCCCATGAATATCCCTTAAATCCCAATCTGGGAATGTAATATGGGATATTGATATTTTCCCATTTCAGACACACCCAAATATCAAAATGGGATAGAATATGGGATACCAAATGGGATGTGTTTCCCCAACTTGACATTTGGGTGTCTCGGAAAATGGTGGATACCACCATTTTAATTGTGCTGAAAAATGAAGATAATGATTAACCGTTGGATTTTGAGGTACACTATTTTCAAACAAAAACCCCAATGTAAAGTGACTACGCTTAAGTCATAATGAATATCATGTTCACAGCCTAGTAACTGTATTGGACAAATAACAACAGTAACATATTGGAAAAATGCCAATTCCCAAACCTGAAATCAGCAATTTTCATCAGCAAATTTCCTTCGGCTGGTCCCCTACTGGATTTTCATCATGGTGACTTGGGTGATAACATTTATGTTTTATGCTTTGTTGTAAAACTGAGAGAAACCCTAACATCAAATTAAAATAAGATCCTCTATCAGACTCTATCATACGTGGACATGTCTATACATAGCAACCCCCCAAAAGATTGACATGTAAACTCCTACGAAAATATTGGCAAAGTTTGGTGGCCTGATCCCGCCCAAACCCAGCTCTCCTCAGCAAACGTCACCTGCGGAACGTGGAAGGTCCAATGGCATTTTTGCGGGGGTGCCCAGCGTCAACATAGCTATGCAAATGGCCCCTTTATATTATGATTTTCCATGGTCAACAGATTCCCAAAAGGGTATATCTAATATGATATTCCCATTGCATCTCCATATTTAGGTGGTTATATCATGTTATATCCTCATGAATCACCATGACAATTACCATTAAAAGTACCATTCATTATAGTCCAATCATATTCCAACGATATTTCACCGTATGATATTCCCATGGCATGTTCCCATCAATGGCCATTTCAGGAACCTAAATTGGAGGTACCATATATAAGGCCTATGTAAGGCCTATGTAAGGGAATATCCCCACAAAATATGGCCAGAAATATGGTACAGTACCTCCATTTTAGGATCCTGAAATTCCCATGGTTCCCATGACATCTTCAACTGGGGATCCCCTGAAGTACCAGGATTTCATCCATCGCCGACCTGCGACTTCACCTTTGGAGCAAAGCCGGCGTAACTCGACACTTTGGCCACACCTGGGAAGGCGATGGATTGAATTTTTCGGGTCACCTGAAGGTTGCCTGAGTTCACCCAAATCCACCTGGAAAACCATAGGAAAACCATAGGAAAACCATAGGAAAACCATAGGAAAATGGAGGTTTTAATGGGAAAACCATAGGAAAACCATAGGAAAATGGAGGTTTTAATGGGAAAACCATAGGAAAACCATAGGAAAACCATAGGAAAACCATAGGAAAATGGAGGTTTTAATGGGAAAACCATAGGAAAACCATAGGACAACCACAGGAAAATGGAGGTTTTAATGGGAAAACCATGGGAAAACCATAGGAAAACCATAGGAAAATGGAGGTTTTAATGGGAAAACCATAGGAAAACCATAGGAAAACCATAGGAAAATGGAGGTTTTAATGGGAAAACCATAGGAAAACCCATAGGAAAATGGAGGTTTTAATGGGAAAACCATGGGAAAACCATAGGAAAACCATAGGAAAACCCATAGGAAAATGGAGGTTTGATCTTCCCGATCTTCCCGATCCTCCCGCGCAACTTGACCGAGCAACCCATCTCCAAGTGGTCGTGACGGAAGGCCACAGACATACGATTCAGGGTATTCAGCACGCCTGGTGCAAAAACATTGGGAACATGGGGGTTTCCATAAATGGGAGTACCCCGAAAAGGATGGTTAAGGGAAAATCCTAACATAGATGATTTGGGGGCAACCCTATTTCAGGAAACCCTCATATCGGTGTGATACTGAATGCATCTGAATACTGGAATGCCAGGATCAGGCATAGTATTCAGGGTGAAATGGAATTTTCCAGGGAATATTTGGGGCATGAAGGTTGGATACTGAAAATTCTTGAAATCCCTGGTCGGATGTGCCGGAGATCTAGCAAAACCAAACATCCTATGGTTCAAACCCATATGTTCCACAATAAAACCGCCACTTTAGGATACTTTAGGGGTACAGTATGCACCAAATTTAAGCACATCAACCCAAGGTTTCAAGTTGTAGAACCCAAAGCACGGTCAAAAACCCTGCAAACATAGTACATGAAGGAACCAAGCTATCGAAACCCGCTGCAATGCCAGCCCCTTTGATGGGAAGGGGTCGTATGATCTCTGGCTGATCCTAGGTGGATGTTTCACGAACAATCTACCTGAAACATCCTGGAACCCATAGCTTCACAATCCACATATAGGGTTGGCTGCGATCGTCTACCCCAGTTGGCCAGTAAAATATGAGAAATTTTCAGATACGTAATGATCCTTGGTTCCATTAAGCACTCAATGGATTGGTTTAAGGGAAAATCTTAACCGGAAACCATGGCTTTTACCATCAAATATAGGCTTTTCCGGTTAAAATTTTCCCATCATCCAATTCTATGAAGCACTGTATAAGAATGATGGAACCCTATGAATTTCATGGAATCAATCAGCCATCAAGGAGAGTTGTTTATCGCAGCTACAAGGTGTTCGTAATGGTTGGCAGAGCGCAGCTCAACCGCTGGGATGCTCATGGTTGGTGCTGAAGCCAACAAGAAACTATCCCCCATGACTACCCAGAAATGAGTGGCTGAGTTCTATAATATAGTTGTAAATTGTAAATGTATATCAACAATCCGAAAAATGGGAGTTTTCCTAATTATTAGACTCTTAGATCTATTAGTTTGTATCCCCTAATATCATTGGATTGGTTTAAGGGAAAATTTACAGGAAACCATGGTTTTTACCATTCAATATAGGGGTTTCCTGTAAATTGTCCCATCATCCAATTCTATGATAATAGTGATCTGCATTTCTTACGACCTTTTACGACACCGGCCTCGTTCCCGGATGGAGCGTCGCGAGAGGCGTTTCTGCTGGATGGTGGCGTCCTTCACCAGGACCTTCCGCGGCTGATGCTTCGCCTCAGGCGAAAAGGTCGAAAGGGCGATGGCTTTTTTACCATCTGGTTATGACTAACATAGCCATGGAAAGATCCACCCATTTTTAATAGGTAAAGCATCTATTTCTATGGGCCATCCATACCCTGGCTATGTTAAATAACCAGATGGTATGCTTTTTTCACTGATGAAACCATTTGGGTTGAGATATCTATAAGATATCAATAGATATCACCCCAGTAACTTCGTTTGCAAAGAATCTAGGTTGGTTAAGTTGAGTTTGACCGCTGCTTAGGATATGCAAAAAGAATTGAAAAGGTACATATGTCTTAGAGTCACTGGCTGCAAACCCTTCCACATCTTTTCGTGAACCGCCCATATTGGCTCCACATCCCTACCCCTGTAGAGGGGGAGGGCGGGGGGGGACAAAACCAAGCTGTCGAATTCCATTTTTTTTGCTTGGAAACCCTGGGATAGTGATCCAACCCCTCAAATGGAATTGTAAAGTAACATTTCTTAACAAGCCTTGGGCACTGGTTAGAAAATACTTGCGCTTAGCTCCGGAGGAGCTAAGCGCAAGTATGATGACGGCGGCGCAATTTTTGGAGGGATGCCATCCCTACGTATGTGCTACTTCAGTCTGACATGTGCTTGGCTCCTCCGGAGCTAAGCGCAAGTATTTAATTTTCATCTGCTTGCCAAAGACATGGAATGATGAGGAATATTGATCATTGAGAAAGCATGATTGCAAAAATGGAATTTTAAAATGAAATTTCAGTACGACTCCCCCCCCCTCAAATTTCATTTTTAAGAGGGTAGGGATGGCTCCACCATATGCGTTTCTACAGCAAAATCAGGGAAACGGATCGTACGTTTCTACACAGCTCTTTACACTCAAAAACCATACATAATGTTGACCTGCGATTTCTGAGGGGTCTGGAAATAAAGTAAAGCTACCGCTGCCAATTAGTGACCAGGGTTAGTGCATAGAGTGAAGATGTCACCTTGGAGTCCCCCTGTTGCATCTTTTCTCGGCAATAATGTTTCTCTTTTGGCTTGCCCCCAATCTTTTCAAAAGCAAAAAATGAGAAGGGATAGGAAACAATTCGAAGTTGCATAGCAAACCATGAGGGATACTAAACCATTGATATTGATGGTATCTGCTGTATCTGGATCAATATTAGTATCAATTATCATGGATATCCGCCATAGTCTACAGCGAATTGGCTTCATGCTACACCTAACGGGTACACCGCACCTTGCCCACTTCGATGATCAAATCCCGGAAGTTGTGCGTCGCCGGGATGGACAGATCGAAGTCGAAACCTCAGGACCCATAGGATGGTCATTACCCTCTGGTAATTGACTAACATAGCTATTGAAAATGGCCATTTATAGTGGATTTTCCCATTAAAAATGGTGATTTTCCATAGTTATGTTAGTTTACCAGCGGGTTAGGATCTTTAAAAAAAACAGATCTGTCCTGCCGAAATTCATTGCCCCATGTGTCAAGGGTTGCATTTCAAACGCCAAACGAATAGTAAGGAATGCTGTTCAAGAATCACTGGGGATGGGGTGACGAGGTTGCAATGATCTCAAGATTACCTTCCGGTAACCAAACGTTCAATCCCCAAATTCCGTTGTTTTCTGTGGATAATTTGCCCTGAGACTTCACTTCCTGACTTGCATTGACCGCAAACCTCAAACACATATCTTGGAATCCCACATATTTGATAGATTTAGATTAACTACTATAAAATGATATTAAAAGAACCAGTTCTTGACTAGATTCTCCAAAATGAGGAATTTCCTCCAGGTCAGATTTCTCCAGGTTCCAACGTTTCTGACGAGCCACTGTCGCTCTCACCTAGCCAGGGCGGCAAGCGAAACATCGAAAAAACCACTTGGCCTATCCCCAGCAAGAATATGCAACATTATACAACATAGGTACCTGGAATTCAAAATGATCCTCACTTTTAGATTTGAATATGTTTGAATACACATCTTCGAGGGTCTAAACATGTCGAAACTCACTTCGAACGCCATGTTTTGCAGCTTCTTTGGGTTCCAGGAATAGCAAATCACACACCTAAATAATTATCTAGAATATCCATGAATATCCAGAAATGGGGGGAAAGAACATGAACTTATTAAATGAACATCTTTCATTTTGAACATCAATCCAGCAACATGGCTGACTGGTGGAGTCGAACATGTCAAGCACCAGTCGTAAACATCAAGGTGACTTGGGTCATCCTCCGGTTCTTCTGTGTTGAAAATTCTTATAGAACATGAACAGGATTGGAAAGGATATTAAAGTACATGTATAACTATTAATATATATATAACATTAATTAACATTATATAACTACTATGTATATCATCATGACAACACCGAAACTAAATCCAAGCAAACATCTGCCGGCCTCTGGCACCAATCGTCATTGTCATCCAGGTATCTCCACCCCACAAGTGCGAGAAGAAAGGACACTCACCTGGGCTCAAACTCACTGGATTGGTGGGAAATCAGGAAACGCCGGTATTTCATGGGGAAAACCCATGGTAATTCACCGGTTTCCGGTTCTCCCTTCAACCAATCCAGCGACGAAATCATCGGACTCAGCCCCTCAGATCGCCCAGGCACCGTCCCCCTTCTGCAAGTTCATCACCCAGCCAGTGGCATTCTTTGGAGCGAAACGACCTCTGGATGACTCTGGATCAGCTGTTCATGGGAAAAAACACATGGAAATATGAGCTGGTTCTGTCATGAAGTGCATTGAAGTGCAGTGAATCTGGAGCCACACTGATTTGTTGGTTGTTCCAACTCATGGCTGCTTGGTGTAGCTGTTGAACTTTGGACTTCCTCTGACCCATTCCAATAGTAGTTTTTCTAGGGATTTCCACCTGCCCAGGGTTGGTACCGATTGTGCAAAATGGATAACGAATGATAACGATACATTGTGGATATATTGTGCATAATATTATCTCTGTATTTCAATAAATTTATATATGTGTATATTGTTATTATTGTTATTATTATATATATATATATATAATATAATATAATATATATATACATATTATATATAATATTATATATATAATATTAAATATATTATTATATATATTATTATATATATTATTATATATATAATATTATGTATATATAATGATATATAATATTATATATATAATATTATTATTATATATATATATTATTATATATAATATTATTATATATATATTATTATATATATATTATTATATATATATTATTATATATATATATATATTATTATATATATATATATTATTATATATATACTATTATATATATATATATTATTATATATATATATTATTATATATATATATTATTATATATATATATATTATTATATATATATATTATTATATATATATTATTATATATATATATATTATTACATATATATATTATTATATATATATTATTATATATATATATATTATTATATATATACTATTATATATATATTATTATATATATTGCATTTATATAGATTACATATTATATAATAAATTATATATATATATATATATTGTTGGATATTTTCCACAAACATTTTTTTTTTAAAAAAAACTATCTCTGCATGTACATATTTAACACATTTAACGGATCCCAACCCAGCGCTGGACCCAGCCAGGCCACACTTTTCGCTGGACTTGTTCTCGATGAGGAACGGCTCCTGGTGTCATTTGCGCAATTTTCCAAGTGGAAGATTTGGGCTCAACAGCGGAAATCGCACATGGAACCCCAGAAATGGCCAAGTAATGGGAAGCCTTCAAGTTGCCAATTGTTTGTTGGGGTCCAAGTTGAACAGCATTGAACAGCTCTGAAGACCTTGCAATGACCAACTAGTTCAGAAATTGCAACAGATTCTACGGGACATTGACATGTCAGGCTAAGCGGCTATGCCCTTCAAATCCCCATAGCACCTTATCCCAAGACCCATCCTAACGCATCCCAACCCATCCCCAAATCAGTTCATAGATCTTAGTAGTGTTAATACGATTATGTTCACTGTCCATTGTCATTGTCACTATTCTTGAGGTCTTTTGCTTATTTAATAGGCTATTATCATAATCATCATACTTGTACCATCATCATAACTATCACAATTATCATGCTTACCATAATTACCATTAATATGGTCTTTCATCATCATTACATATATTACATACAATTACATATATTACATATCTCATTACTATCATGGTCATATTATAATCAATACTTTACATATATTTGCCACATATAATTCAATAATTATAACCATCATATAATCATCTATAACCATCTATTTACATATATTTACATATAATATCATATAATATCATCTATAATCATCATCCCATCATCCCATCATCCCACCCGTTCTCCCCACCTGTCGACAGTGCGCCAAGGTCAAGCGCAGGAAGCCGCTGACCTCGTCCCGCGCCACGGCCACCTCCACGGTCTCCGCCTCGCCGCCGCAGCGCTGCCGGAAGAAGCCGCGGTACGTCGTCATGCTCTCGGACAGCGTCAGCGGCTGGGACCACTCGAAGGCAGCACCTGGTTTTACGTCGAAACGGAGAAATGTTCGAAAAGATCCGGAGAAAAAAGGGGGAGAAACATGGGGGTGCCATGGTCAAATGATCTTGGATTTGTTATTTGGTTGATATATGATATATATATAATATATATATGATGAGACTGTCAGGCTATCGGACAAAAAATGCATTCTTCTCCTGAAACGAAATCATAAGCAATCTTCGCAAACCAAAAGCATTGCAGTGACATCCAGCAATTCAGTGGTGTGGACAGTGCTACACATAAAATACAACATGGGATCCAAAAGGGAAGATCCAAAATGTTGCAAACCCAGAATCAAGTACACAATTTGAACCAACGCTTTCCGAAATTTCCTTGGAATTGAGAAGATTGGCAACCAAGAAAAGCTGATTTGCTTGTGCTCCTCCAGTTTTTTATTCTAAGCAAGGAAACCCGTTACTGGCTGTTACAGGCATTGGCAGTTACAGGCATTGGCAAATTGGGTGGCACTCAATATATATATATGTGGCAGGGACCTTTGGGGTCTATTTCGTTCGTTGGCCTAGAAAGGCATCTTCTTCAATCTAATGAGCGCTACAGCAAACATTTGTATAATCGCGCGAGACTTTCCGAAGCGCTGGACGTTGATCGGAGACAGTAACTGGGATGGGAGGGTGGGACTGTTAAACACATGTACTGGCTTGCTCGTTGCTGCGCCCTTGCTGCAAAGCTCAGATGAAGGGCTGGGCACGCAGAATCTTTTGAAACTGAACATGTTCATCCACAACCTCCTGCAGCGCTCTGCGTGGATATAACGTTTTGGTTTCTTCATCCATGGGTATGGGATGGATCTGTTGCAGCCTCCATTTCCACGGTGGTGACTTCAATGGGCGGGAAGGCTGGGCGGGAAAACTGCTTCAAGTTTGCTGAAAAAGTTCCGCCAAAGGCTGGGCACTTTCTAGTTTTTTTCGACGGAACATGTTTAAACACAACCTCCAGCAGCGCTCTGCGTGAGCATGACGTTTTGGTTTCTTCATCCGTGGATATGAGATAGATCTGTTTCAGCCTCCATGTCCATGGTGGCGACTATGGACGGGAAGGCTGGGCGGAAAACTGCTGCACGCTTGCTGAAAAAGCTCTGCCAAAGGTTGGGCAGACAAAATATCGACTTTTTCAACGGAACATGTTTACCCACAACCTACTGCAGCGCTCTGCGTGAGTATGACATTTTCGTTTCTCCATTCATGGATATGGGATGGGTTGTTTCAGCCTCCATGTCCGTGGTGGCAGCAATCATGGATGGGAGGGCTGGGTGGGAAAACGGACGTGCTGGCTTGTGTGCTGTTGGGCGATTGCTGATGGTTGGGCACGCGAAGCTCCTTGTCAACGCTTCGTTAACCCGACAACGCGGTCCATATTGGAACAAGCCAGGCAACACCAACCACAGGCCCCAATCGTGCCTCCTCGATTGCAGTGAACCCTTGCAAGCCTACCAGGGCACTTGGCGAGACTGTTGCAAAAACTAAACAAGGAAGGTGGCACAGGACTTGCATCGCTTCGGACTTGCAAACACATCTTCAACACACATGTCACATATGCATGAACAGAGGCTTGGACTTTCTTTTCTCCAATCCGATGCACTGCTGCACGCTATCGTCGAAGCCTTTTCGGCTTGACGCCGGAAGATCGCCAATCCGATGCACTGCTGCACGCTATCGTCGAAGCCTTTTCGGCTTGACGCCGGAAGATCGAATCGAGTGCACACGTTTGACGGAGTGGACTGTCCTCTTTCCGCGTCTCTTTATGGGGATTGTTTGCTTCCACTTCTGTACCTTTCTGGCTTCCGCTTGCCGCGCCCGATGCAAAGGTACAGGTGCCTTGGCAGACGAGCAACAGTTTTGCCAGGTGGCATCGGTCCAGACATCAGTGGCCACTGCCCGCGCAAGCAGGACACCTTCTGAAGTCTGCTGCACCGTAGGAAAACACGAGGCGACATGATGGGCGAGCACCTTGCCAAACTGCATAATTTCAAGCTTCAGCCGCAGTGTGCTCTGGTGCAATGAACGGATGGACTTAGTCCACGAATTTATCTCGGCATGAAGGGACTCATTAGAGGACGTGCCGCTTGGCAGCAACCCCCGCTCTAGAGGGGTTAGATCGTGCCGCACACGGAGGTTGTTCATCAGCCATTCCAATCTATCTGGTGCTGTGGCTGCCCAAAGAACCTTCCTAATTTCTTTGTTGGAGCCTGTCACTTTACGGCTCACCTCATGTGGGTACGTTGCACAAAGGGCGGCTAATGCCTCAATGAAGGTGATTCGGCAGAACAAAGGCGAATCTGGATGAAGGTTGTCCAGGATGCGTTTGGCCCTGGTTGCGCCCATGCTGCCGTCAGTGATGAGATGTCGTGCCCGCTCTTCATCGCGAGTCAGGCTTGGCGGTGCGGTGCCAGTGAAGAGGGGCCCCCAAGAGCTGGAACGCATGTTCGGGGCTACCTGGTTCATCTTATGTAGCAAACACCGTAGAACTTTCGATCCAGCCGTCTTCTTCCCCCACTGGGCATATTCGTAGACAATGGCCAGATGAACAGGATCCAAGGAGAGGCAGCTCAGGTTTGGGCAGATCTCTTTCAACTCGCGGAAGAGCTTAGGAGAGGGGTTGTCCGTAGCTAAATATCGAACCTGGAACAATGCCTGGTTGGAGAAAAGATTGCGCAGAGATTCCTTGATCTTTGGTGACTCTTCACTCGGAACAGGAACCATGCCTAAGACGGCACCGGTACGCCCCCTGATAGTCAGCACCCTTCTCAAAGAATGCTCATCATCAAAGCAAGCCGCATTTCGGGTTTGGGCCGATGCTCTATAGTTGCTTGTCCCTGCGCAGTCATGCAGACTTTGAGTGTAGCATCAATGGACAAGCACAAGAATTCCTGACTGTGTTCCAAAGTTTTGAAGATGGAGCTCTTCAAGCTTTGGACTTGATAGGACATGTAGATGTCCTCCACAAGAGGCCACCAATGACGTGTATGGGAAGGGTACAAGTTCCCAAGCATGTTGCCGGCTTCCAAAGCCCGCAAATGTACACGAGGCCAAATGCTCTTGACCTCAGAAAAGAACTATGAACATCATTCCAAGGCATGGTTGACACCGTAAAAAATATGATCCTGCTCTGACACAAGTTAAAACGATGACATTGCACGTGCATGTTCTGCTGCTGCCAAGGAACACTCGAATGGTGCAAGACAATTTCCCTGTAGACCATTTCGGCAAAGGATTTGTCGTAATAGATGTTCAACACTCTGCGGGCAACGATTTGTTCTCCAAGGGCCTTTTGGTTGACATATCTTGGACCGTCTTTCTCTAGCAGCAGGCGTAGGTTCTTGTCAATCAAACTCTTGTTGCGGTCGAGAGGAGGAACCACTTGAGTTCTAAGGAGCATGGCACTGCGAAACAAGTAGTCTGCACCGTTCTCTTTGCGGACAGAATCTGAATCGTGCAAGGCCAAAATCACTTTTAACTGCTTCTTTCCTGAGCACACAAACTGCTTGGCGGCGACATGATGGCGCCTCAGGTGATCAGAGAGCTGGCACAATCGACCAAAAGCTCGGAAAGGGCAGAAAGGGCAACAGTATGCACCGTGCATCTTCCGAATGTTGTTGTGCTCAATTTCTTCCATGAAAGCATGAACTTCCTCCTCCAAGGAATCTTTGATGATGTCTTGGAAAGTGATTTGGCCCTCGTCGTCGATCACGAAGCGGGGCTCTGCTGGCTCTCCGCCCTCGTCATCGTCGTCAGAACTTGCACCGCCTTGCTTATCATCTGAGCTGCCGCCTTGAACATCATGACCCTGTTTGAATTCCCGAAGCTTCTGTCTGCACAGCATCACCTGCGACTCCCAAGTCCTCTTGCTTATCCCCCCATCGCATGGGTTGGGAATCTCACCCAAGAAGTCTGAGGCATGCAATGTATCACAATGATTCCTGAGCATAGATATGTACACCCTCAATCTTTTTTCTACGCGGGTGACCAGCGCAGAATCTTGAATACTCCGCTACCAGCTCCCCTACCAGCTCCGCTACCGACATGCAACAGCAGCAACACCAGCCCCACATCCGATATAATTCGGTGACCGATAAGGCTCCCTTTTCGCAACTTTTTAGGGTGGGTGGGTTCTAGCTTGTAGCCAAAACGACAACTGCCCTAACAGAGCTGTTATACCTCTCTTGTTTGTCGGCCTTTTGGTTTCTCATAGACCATCTCCAGCAGACAGTTCGGCCGTGTTGCCCAAAGCAAACAAAGGCACCATCAAGCAATCAAGCATGTGATTCCCTCCCGCGACACCAGCTAGGAATACTCCGCTACCACCTCCCCTACCACCTCCTCTACCGACATGCAACAGCAGCAACACCAGCCCCACATCCGATATAATTCGGTGACAGATAAGGCTCCCTTTTCGCAACTTTTTAGGGTGAGTAGGTTCTAGCTTGTAGCCAAAACGACAACTGCCCTAACAGAGCTGTTATACCTCTCTTGTTTGTCGGTCTATTAGCTTCTCACGCAGCATCCGTCAGTCTAGATTGTACAATGAAACATGAATGGTCCCTGCCAAATCAATAATATGTCATATGTACTATGCCATCATATTTCAAAAGTTTTTTGTTTTAGAAAAAGAACTATATATTATAATATGTTAATGGGAAAAATGCAAGCCAAGAACAAGAATATACAAAAAGGTACAACCAGAAGCTTAAAGAACAAGCTTAAAAATGTTAAAAGGTAAGTCCAGCAAAGCAAATACAAAGGCAAAAGCCAAGAAGCAGGCGCAAAAACGAAGACACAGACGCAAAGGCCCAGAAGCAAGCGCAAAAGCCAAGAGAAAGGCGCAAAGGCCAAGAGACAGGCGCAAAGGCCAAGAAGCAGGCGCAAAAACGAAGAAACAGATGCGAAAGCCAAGAGGCAGGCGCAAAGGCCAAGAGACAGGCGCAAAGGCCAAGAGACAGGCGCAAAGGTCAAGAGACAGGCGCAAAGGCCAAGAGACAGGCGCAAAGGCCAAGAGACAGGCGCAAAGGCCACGAGACAGGCGCAAAGGCCAAGAGACAGGCGCAAAGGCCAAGAGACAGGCGCAAAGGCCAAGAGACAGGCGCAAAGGCCAAGAGACAGGCGCAAAGGCCAAGAAGCAGGCGCAAAACCAAGAAACAGCCGCGAAATGTAATCCTTTTAATCCTTTTAATCCTTTTAATCCTTTTAATCCTTTTAATCCCCCAGAGATCTGGAGTCTAAGGCCCAAGCATTGGATTACATGATTTAACCCTTTTAATCCTTTTAATCCCCCAAAGGCTCTGGAGGATTAAAAGGATTAAAAGGATTAAATGCTTGGTCCTCACATTGGGGTTCTGGGGGCTCTGGAGGATTAAAAGGATTAAAAGGATTAAAAGGATAAAAGGATAAAAAAAAGGATAAAGGATTTAATCTTTTATCCGTTTTAAATCCCGAACCAAAGCTCTGGAGGATTACACGATTAAAAGGATTAATGCTTGGTCGCTCACTTGGGGTTCGGGGCTCGGAGGATTAAAAGAGGTAGGAAGATGAGGTTAAATGATTTAATCCGTTTAATCCATTTAATCCCCCACAGGCTCTGGAGGATTAAAAGGATTAAAAGGATTAAATCATTTAATCCTTTTAATCCTTTTTATCCTCCAAAGCCTCTGGAGGACTAAAAGGATTAAAAGGATTAAATGCTTGGTCCTCACATTGGGGTTCTGGGGGCTCTGGAGGATTAAAAGGATTAAAAGGATTAAGGTTACAAGGATAAATATTTAAATCCATTTAATCCTTTTAATCCTCCAGAGCCTTTTGGGGGATTAAAAGGATTAAAAGGATTAAATCATTTAATCCTTTTAATCCTTTTAATCCTCCAAAGCCTCTGGAGGATTAAAAGGATTAAAAGGATTAAATCATAGTCCTTTTAATCCGTTTAATCCCCAAAGGCTCTGTGAGATTAAAAGGATTAGAAAGGATTAAGTCATTTAATCCTTTAATCGTTTTAATCCTGTTAATCCTTTTAATAATCCCCCAGAGATCGTGGAGTTGCTACGGCCCAACATTGGATTAAATCATTTAATCCTTTTAATCCTTTTAATCCTCCAAAGCCTCTGGAGGATTAAAAGGATTAAAAGGATTAAATGCGTGGTCCTCACATTGGGGTTCTGGGGGCTCTGGAGGATTAAAAGGATTAAAAGGATTAAAAGGATTAAATCATTTAATCCTTTTAATCCGTTTAATCCCCCAAAGGCTCTGGAGGATTAAAAGGATTAAAAGGATTAAATGATTTAATCCGTTTAATCCATTTAATCCCCCACAGGCTCTGGAGGATTAAAAGGATTAAAAGGATTAAATCATTTAATCCAATGGCTTGGGCCTTAGACTGAAACCAGATCTCTGGGGGGGGATTAAAAGGATTAAATTGGATGTAAAGGATAAAGGATTAAAAGGATTAAAAGGATTAAATGATTTAATCCTTTTAATCCTTTTAATCCTTTTAATCCCCCAAAGGCTCTGGAGGATTAAAAGGATTAAAAGGATTAAATCATTTAATCCTTTTAATCCGTTTAATCCCCCAAAGGCTCTGGAGGATTAAAAGGATTAAATCATTTAATTCTTTAAATCCTTTTAATCCTTTAATCCTTTAATCCTTTAAATATCCTTTTAATAAATCCTCCAGACCCCCAGAACCCCAATGGTGATGACAAGCATTAATCTCTTTTAATCCTTTTAATCCTCCATAGGCTGTGGGAGATTAAAAGGATTAAATGATTTAATCCTTTTAATCCTTTTAATCCTTTTAATCCCCCAAAGGCTCTGGAGGATTAAAAGGATTAAAAGGATTAAATCATTTAATCCTTTTAATCCGTTTAATCCCCCAAAGGCTCTGGAGGATTAAAAGGATTAAATCATTTAATTCTTTAAATCCTCTCAATTTGCCAAAAAGCTTTAAACATTATGAGAATTAACCGGAACAAAATGGTACCTAAAGGTCTCTCGATCATATATATATACATACAATGTATAGATATATATATATATTATATGTATATATATATATTACAAATATATAAATCCCTTTGATGATGGGTATACAAATCCCCATGAATGGATTGATGACCATCCCCTGAAAGAGGGGAATATGAACTCTTGACCATGGCACATGTGGATAACATGTCGTGGAAATAGGTGAGGAAAATATAGGGATGGTGGACAATTTGACAATAATTCTGTGGGAATATGTGAGAATGCAATAGTCATAGGGAATATAAATGGCAGTGTGTCAAAACCTCGTACCCCTGGTGAACATCAAAATAGCTGGTAAATGGATGTTCATCCCATTAAAAATGGTATGTATAGGTATTGATCCATAGCCAAATAGTCATAGTCCAACGGGGACTTTTCACCAAGAAAGACGCTGCTATGACGCTGGAAAATAAAAGCTGAGGTGCTGCGGGGTATAACTTGATCCTGCTGTTAAACTCAATCATCAATAGGGAATAACTTAACAATACTTAAAACCTAACAATACACTGATACGGTTAATAATTTAATACATGGTAATGACTCAATGATTCTGATAGGTTCTGAAACTCAATTCTCCTGTCACCAGCTATGGATAGCTATGGGCTATGGCAGACTCCAAAGATCATCCTGTGGGGCGGTCACAGCCATGGATCTACGCCCTGGAAAAACTGTCGCTTTGGGTCCAACAATGTCGACCAGTGTCGACCCAAATGGCACAGCCATGGACTCTGAAAATCTCTGAAAGGAACAAGCCACAGAATTCAAAAAACGAAAACATGACCCATGGGCCCATGATGATCCAAGTTCGGTGCGTGACCAGGCCTGAGTCATATTCCCCTGAGCGTTTCATCTGGAAGAGCATCTCACTCCTGCAAAACTTTGGCAGCACCAGCGAACTGGCAGGAAATAGCCCTTAGTTCTAGCCTCTGGTAATCTGTTGTGTAATGTTACATCGCTATGGTGAACCACCCTTACATATATAGGTAAGTCACTGTAAATCATCTAGAAATGGAGGGATATTCCGATTCCATAGCCACGTTGAGAGGGCAGATGATTTTCCCGTCTCGGGATGCAACGACTGTATTCAGACAGTGGACAACAAGCAACCCATTCTGCTGCTCACATCCCAAATATGAAGAGACAAAAAAATTTTCGCAGTGTCAAAAGCATCTGGAAACCAAAAAAAATACTGCTCAATGGGGATGTCCATTTCGTTTGGAAGTGATTTTCTCACCATGGCAACAAGCCATCATTTGTAACCTCAACTGCACCAAGCAGTGCAGTTGCCCCACTCCCCTGGTGCTTTTAAGTTGTCTCCTATTGCTGCCCCTGGGCCACAAGTCCACCCACTCGTCTGCATCCACCAACTTTCCTCAACGAAAAAAACTGGGAGAACAATTCTTACAAAACAGAGGGAATTCGAATAATTCGAGGGTAAAATGTTGGAAGAACATATACTAGTTACTAGCAGGCAGGAGGGATGATCTGGAAATATCTGGAATATGGATGGATCAAACATGGATTTGATATTATTGAATGGTTTGGTACAGTACAAAACGACCTATAACTTCGATGTGGATCCTCGGTTCTAGAGGGTCTCCCCCCATTGTGGATATCTAGTGCAGGATATTTTCCTAACATTTTCATTCTGCGCAAGACAACCATGGGATTTGGGACATATCCCCCACTTTTTATCATACCCACTTATTTGTTTGGCCATATACTGGTGACATCCCAATTCTTGCTGGTTGTAACAGATCTCTATTCCTGTTGACTATGTCCTCATGGTTGTTATGAGTACCTGAACTTCCCCAATGCCAATGCCTGTTGCTTCTACAAGAACCCTCATTGTCGTTGGTTCAACTTTGCAAATTGTATAATCTGGGGAAGCTAAGCCACCCATCCAAGACATGTTACGATTTATTGATGGAGACTACGAACTGGAACATGTCGTTGGTGCTTGAACCCGTTTTTTTGGTCATGATATCCCCAGCTGCTGGGTTTATCCGGTTTATCCGCCTGTTTGTTGGTGAATATCCACACATTGATGTCATGATCAGGAGGCCTTAGGGATGGTTGGATGGTTGGATGGTGGGATGATCAGCTTTTGGGTTTGCCATAGCAATGTATCCCAAGCATATCCCACTGATCATTATACATCAATCATTATCCATGTACAGTAATCATACCAATGTAATATATCCCAATCCATACCAATGTATCCATAATTATCCATAATCCACCATGTTTAATCCAAGAATATCCCAATAGTCCACAGCGATCATCATCCAATGCAGCAATCATCCATTGTCAACCATCGATGATCCACTAACTATTGACCATCACAAGAGTAGCGGACCAAATTATATGTTAAATTGAATGCCATGCACAAATTAGGGTCGTCCCCTTTCGGTTATGAGGATTTCAGTATTCCCGGAAGTATCACAAATGGGGTATCGGTATAGGGTCGTCCCCTATCGGTTATGAATTATGAAGGTTTTGTGCAACCTCGGAAAGGCCAAGGCGAAGCAAAGACTAAATTAGTATTACAATAATTTTGTCAGTTACTCATATAATCAGCCTAGATTACCCTCTGGTTATTTAGCATAGCCATGGAAAATTGCCCATTTATAGATGGTTTACCTATTAAACATGGTGATTTTCCATGGCTATGTTAAATAACCAGATGGTAATCATTGTTAACCATAAACTAACCATAGAATAACCACTCTAAATGCCAATTCTTCGGGGCACCAAGGCTTCAAACACCAAGTCACCCTCATCCGTGCTATCTGCTCGCACGGTGACCTGCCAAGAGGTCTGGTTGCCTAAGCCGTGGCCAGCGGCGGCGACACAGAGACGTGCACGTGGAGCTATGATTCAGCGGTGATGCGCTAATTTTGAGTGGTTAAAATAGGGTTAAGATAGAATGACTATGATTGGCTCAAATTATAGATTTGAAACGACCAGCAGAATGGTAGGTCCTCTTTCGTTGACCACCCAATCTTGATTGATCAGAGTTGAGACCACTTCCGTTTGACCCATCCCATTCCCATTCCATGGCATATTCCCTGCTGAACCAGTTCCATCGGCTCATGTGTATTACACATTTGGAATATTGGTCAAGTCGTTGACCGTGGGGCTCCCTCAAAAAAAGAAAGTAGATCAACAGAGATCAAAAATAGTGGAATCCATCTGCCATCATCTTCTATCTATTCAATTCATTTTTTGTTTTTCTTCTTTTGGGGGACACCTCTATGAACGTTGAAAAATGGAGATGATAGGAATGAATTGAGACCTCGGGAACCCCAAAGCTTGATGTCATCGCCTGGCTTCAATAAAGCCCTTCCCATAGATGCCATGCTCCATGCATATCCATGGAGACTATTTCCCAACATTTGCCCCAAAAAATGTGATCCATCTACATAAGCAGATCATCGAGAATCTTGAGCATGGCCCCAGTTCCCATCTGTCGAAACATCTGCTGCTGCGCCACTCACTCTGACCCACGGGAAGATGTGAACTTCCAAACTGCCTTGATGCACAGTGGTCCGCACCTGCGATCGTTCCAGAGACGGTTGGGGTGATCATGGTAGGGGTTGCGACGCAGCGCAAAATCAAATCGATACAGCACTTTCTGCTGGTAATATCCAGAATTATGCTAGATACACAGCTGTGATCTTACCCAGCCAGTCGAAAAATATCGTCATCCATTGGTCATCCTGTGTCCAACTGAATTCATCATCAATTTTCATCAGAAATCCCGCCATGCCATTTCCGCCTTGTAGACATCTGGCAATCCAGCTGGCACCATCAATCGCGTGGTCATGCGATGGGTCATCCGGGTCAAGCGCTTGGACACCGTTTGGCTCATGCGACTGGTGCTTTTCAGCTCCCTGGCTGAAGGGAACCTCATCCGGCCGCTGGGATGGAAGACTTGATTCGGGGTGCTTTGAAGGCTTCCAACGTTGCAATTCCTATGGCTGCAACCATAATGTCTTTATATCTTGCAGGCAGAGGAAGGAGACCATACTATATACATCATTATACATCCATATGCCATATCATGCCATGCCATACCGTGTCAGCTGGGCCATCACTTTCCATGCCACTCCAGTTGCTAAACCCAGGCACTCCAGTTGCGCATGCTCTCGCACTTGCGCGATGTCATAGCCTGGGAAAGTTCTCCATCGTTTGAGGGAAGATCCCATCGAGATAACGGGGGATTCCTTGCAGTTTTTGTCCATCAATTTTTGGGACTTTTGGGGTCTAGAGTTCGTTCATGTTCGTTCTACTATGACAGGCTTGTTCAGGCAGTAATTTGGCCCTGCTGTTGATGTTTCACTGGATTTGGTTTGCAAAATTTCGTTTCGATCTGTGAAACGTGGGTCCAAAATGAAGCAGGGTTCAATCCACGTATGCAGGCGATATTTAATTTCAATTGACACCCAACATTGATAGCGGTAAAAGCGTCTTGACAGGTATGGGACATGATTGTATCCAATTGGCAAAACATTACATTATCTCAGCTCGCAGAATGGTGCATACTTTGACAGTCAATTGAACCCTGAGAAGGGTCAAAACAGTCCAAGTCATTGTATTGCCAAGGAACGATGCAGGGTGAGTTTTTGTAGGTCTTCCTCGTTTTCCTGTCGGGCGGCGGTGTCAACTCCTGCCGTTGACAATAAATCTTCACAGAAAGGATCGATTGAATGATAGTAATCCTATTTAATCCTCGTAAAAGCAGATTGGATGCTACATGATGCTACTGGTCCCATCTAATCAGAAGAGCAGTTACGTAATGTGAAACACGGTACTCAACGGTACTCGATACAACCCCATATGATTGATTACTAATCATCAACCATCATTGGCTCGGGGTGCTGCTAGGATGTGTTTCACGCCAAGCCATAGCTCTGGGGCTTGTCCCGGATGGATTTTGGGGGCGTCGATCTGGAAGTTGAAAAAACTTGGAATCTGAAAATCTCAGAACCAATTGTTTCAAGGGTTATTCAATAGTTGCCAATAGTTATTACCCAATGGTTATTGAAAAACTTATTGAAGAATGCCCAATATTCAATAACCATCCTCCAATTGGGGTATGAAATTGAGAATTCGGAATACCCCAGTTCTGTTGGATGATGCAAGTAATGACCCCCAAATGGTTGGTTACTGGGATGATAAAAAATCCTTTTGATCATGGAATTCAAATGTTATTAGTTAATACAATTCAAGTTTTGAGAGTATATCAACAACTGAATTCCAGTTTCATAGTTACCATCTGTTTATTTAACATAGCCATGGAAAATCACCATGCTATTAATAGGTGAACCATCTATTTCTATGGGCCATGGCTTAACCATGGCGAACTGTTAGTCATAACCAGAGGGTAAGTCCCAAGTTTTCCCAAGCTCCAGGGATTTTCCCACGTTCACCAAGCGACCAGATTGTCCCCTGCAGGACCCAGCAGAAGAGCAGGATGGCCGCTAGTGACCTTGGACGAAGAACTCCTCGACGTAATAAGTTGATCCAAAAAATAAACAGCTTGTAGGGATATCGAATCTACCTATTACATCCTATTACCAGTTGTATGATAGTTGTATTGTATTACATAACTATAATATCATATATATAGTATATATATATATAGTATATATATATATTGTATAATATTGTGTATATAAATTTATATACATATATATATACGTATAAATATATATATATATAGTTTTATATATAATCTGAGATCTGTGAGCATTGGTTCCGCATGACATTTGGTACAAGTACTACTTTTGAGGGAGAACTGGACTCACCTTTATTCGCTACAATTGCCGAACTGCCGCTTTAGATTGAAACCTCAAAGTATGTGGTCATCAGCAAATGAGCAATTCCGCGGTGCTGGGGAGTTCAAACCACACATCTGCAAGCAAGTCAATGTGGAAGAGCACACTGGCGATCAGAATGTGCAAGATTCCACCAAATCTTGCTACACATTTGCAAACTGCTCCTCAGCAGCAGAGCTGTCACCACCAGCGTCTGGATGGCCCCAGGTCACCACAGCCCCACCGGCCAGGATCGCAGCAAATGCAAAGTCAGTTTGTTGAACCAGCTGGACACCTTTGAGCTGTCACCACTATAACGTGAACTACTCCAAGTGACAACAGATCTTACTACATATAGCCATGACTGAACATAGTCTGAACATTATATGTACATATATTATCATATATTATACATATTTATACACACCCTGAAAAATAACAATGATGTATTATTCATATATTCAAATTTGCAGCCAACAAATTAACCCACCAATCGGCGTACCCGGATACCATGGACTTGTCCCAAGATCCCATTAGGAAAGTCATGTTCCCCATCATTCAATTGTCATAAATTGGTGGCAAATGGATCCATTTTGCGACGGATCCTTAAGGTGTTTCTTCTCTGAAGTCAAGCTATTCCTTGATCCGCTTGTACTTCCCATCATTGCGGTTCACTCTAATCCAGGAAGAAACTTCTAAGCCTAAATTGCAAGAGACCCATGTCTTATTGTTGATTCTGTATTCCATCCTTGTATCTAATCTTCTCATTATATCCCCCTGGATGGCTTGAGACTCGTATTTTTGCTGCCTAAATCGCCCATGAAAAGGAAGTCCCACTGGTTTTGCTGCTCAAGTTAAAGCCTATTAAAACCTTCTGTTGCTTTCATCATCTTAATCATCTTAGATCTGCCATAAATCTGCCATAAATCTGCCGTAAATCTGCCATAAATCTGCCATGTGAAGGTGTTTCGGCGCTCAAATCCCACATTTGTTGCTTCAGTCCCCCCTTCGCCAACGGCACATTCTCCGGCGCCACTGCAGCGGACCGGAAGGAGGGCGGTGAGTACCAGGCGAAGTTCAGAACGCCTGAGCGTCGCGAAGAAAAATGTTTGGTAGTTGGATTAATCTGACTGTAATCATATTATAATCCACTTAAATGGATTCTTCATGGATAACTCTCTGGTGAAATTCTGGTGTTTTAATTACAGGAGGTAAAACAGCTGGTTTCACTGGACGTCCACGTGCAAAAACCAGGGACATGATGTTGTTTTTCATGTTCCAAGCATCCAAATTGTTGCGTTTGCTGCAAGTTTCATAAAGGTGGGCCAAGAACAGACTTCGGGTGCTCCAAATTTCTAGTTTCTGAATTGTTTGCTTGGATGGGTCCACTTATTGAAACCCTGCCTTCAGCCGGCAAGTAGAAGAAGGGAGCTGAAGCATGGTCCTCTCCGCATGCGAGGCCACGGATTGGTCCATAGTTGGGGTCAAGATTGCATAAGATTGCAACAAATTCCTATGGGGGATGCATCTACCCTCTGGTTGTTTAACATAGCCATGGAAAATCACCATTTTTAATAGGTAAACCATCTATTTCTATGGGTCATCTATACCATGGCGAACTGTTAGTCATAACCAGATGGTAGGAATGACCATAGCCTTTCTTGGGAATATCTGGACCCAACTTTTTGGCAGA